TTGCAGTTTGTGCCCGTTCCCTGGTTCTGTTGCTGCACACCAGTGAGTACAGCTCATGTCACCAGTGAAACATCCAGCACACAGACACAGGGCAACGCTACCTGCACCCTGCAAGGCTAACTCGCACAGGGCAGGGAGGCACACAACAAACAGTGTGTTTTAAGGGAACGCTTGTTTGATGGCTTCACATCAGTTGATCTCACACGTGCATAAAGGCTGAAGTAGTGCTGAACGCCTGCAAAACACAGCATGTAACAGCAACCCACGTGCGTGCTAAGCAGCTAGCAGACCCTGACTGGAGGCAGCCTCTCCTTACGTCCCACCTGTACTTCTGCTTGAAGTGAATCTACTCCAGCATTGCTGGGTTTGTTTCACCACAAAACTCGGGAAGCCACAACTTAAAATCTTCCCGTAAGGAAGATACCGGCAGCGCTTGTGACGGGCAATAAGGACGAACGAACAGAGCGTAGGCTCGCACAATCCGGGAGAGCCCCACAAGGAGCCCAGCTGAACGACGCGCGTTACGCGGCGCCCGGGAGCCCCACCAGGCGCGGGCCTTCCCACGTGCCTCAGGACGGCCGCCCCCCGCTGCCCTCAGCCGGGCGGACCGCTCCATCGCGGTACCCGGCGGCTCGGAGAGGAGCGCGGAGCTTGCTTGCTTCCGCCCGCCCGCGGCTCCCACCCCCGCAGCACCCCGTCCGCCGCCCCTCAGCGGGCACCGCCCGGCCCGCCTCACCTGAGAAGAGCGGCATGGCGGAGGGCGCGGAACCGGCGGCGGGAGCGGCGTTACCGGAGGGAAGCGGCGAGCGGGCGGGAGGGGCAGGCGACGGCGGCGGCGGCTCGGGCGCGGCCCCCTCCCTCGGGCTCTCATTCAAACCGGCCCCTCAGGATGACGCTGCAACGCGGCCGCTGCCGGAAGCGGGACGGGGTGCGCGCGCAGGGCCGGAAGGGCAGGGATGGGCGGGAGGAGGGAGGGAGCGGGAGCGCGCGCCGTGCTGCTGCCTCACAGGCGAGCGGGAGCGCGCACATCGCGCGCCTGTAGCGTAGCTCTGCGGCCAATAAAATAATCAGTGCTTAAACATGTAGAAAGGAAGAGAATGTCGCAATGAAACGTCTCCGGACTGTCCTGCTGGTTTCCTTACACCTCTCCGGGATGGTGCCTCTGGAAACCCTAACGCTGCTCCACTGTTCCACGACCTTTCTGGTCGTGCTATCACTAAACTAGCTAATACTAAGCAAAATACACTTGGTCTGATGTTAAACATGCCTAACTGAACGATATGTGCGTTCGCAAAGTCAGCTAATGTTAAGCAAAACACAGCGGGGCTGATGATGAACAAAACTTCCCTTTTGTACTCCGTGATCCCGCACATCACTGTTACCTCAGTGCGGGGCCCTCCTGTGCAGCGCTCTGAAACTGCACCTGCAAAGGAACAGGAGGAGGGCAATTTGCGGTCATGAAGACGAAGGCCGCTCATTTCACCCCACAGAGACTTGAGATCCCACTCAAAATCACTGAGCATGTGCAAGGGGCCCTCTGTTAATTAATGATTTTGGGGGGAATCCTTCTCGTACGTAACACAAGTAATGTACATAACTGAAGGTCTTTCGTTCAAGGTGTGTGGTTAAGGTGGAAATAGCCCCTCGTGCACCTGATGTCATAAATAAAGAATGCCTACTCACTGACACCACACTGCTGTTAGTTTGTTCCCAAATTTTGGATGACTGTCGTTGCTTTGTGAACACTCTGCTCTCTAAATACAGTTCTCACTTCCAAACAGTTGACACAATCACAAATCGGCCATAGAAATTATCCAGGGCTTGAAAACAAGCCTTTGGATTCAGCAAGGGTGCTGAATCTTCTGCAGGCTGGGGCTGCTCAGAGGAGATGAGCTTGCTTCCTAGGGAAGTGTTGGCCCGATCTCTGGTGAGAGCCTGCAGACCCAGCGTTAGCAGAACTCGGACCTGATGGTCCCCAGAGGTCCCTTCCAACCCTTGTTCTGTGGTTCTGGGACCAGCTGTTCAAGTCAGAGCAGATCCCAGCTGCCTGCTCACGGATGAAACTACAGGGTATTTCCAATCCAGCCATTCGTTCTTAATAGTAACGGAGACCTGTGTAGAGACCATTGATTCGTGCCTTCTAAATGAACGTAGAATGGTCTACAGTCAAGCTGAACTGAAGACGTCCTTCCACGTACCTTTGGCATATCGGGTCTCATCCCAAGCAAATGCAAATCGCTTACAGAGTTTAGGAAAGGCACTAGAGGGTGCTGTGCTGAAAGAGAAGAAACAGGTTTTGTATCTGCAGGAAAACTTCACCACCATGACAGCTGCTACCTCCTTTTTCCTTTTCTTTCCTGTACTGCCCCTGAGGCTTCCCATGACAGCTTTGTGCTTCTTTCCTTAAGGTGAGGATCAGCTGACAGATGCCGCTGGTCTCTTTGAATCTTACACAAACTGGCATAAGGAGTATAGCAGTAAAATGCAATGCGGTGTGTGAATAGAATGGAAGTACAGATTACCTTGACTATTTTACAGCACTCCACTTTCCTGTGCTGCAAAACCATAGGGTTTTGGGTGCTCTAGATGAGCACCCAGAAAACAAAGAACAAATTACTGAAAAACACCGCCAGCACGCAGGATGTTTCCAGCAGAGGGCTGAGCGATGCCCAGAAGGGATTGCCGTGGCTGCTATGTGCAGTGGCATCTCCTGGGGCTGCCGGGGACCTGGGGCATGGCATTCCCATCCTGAAATGCCCTGTTCTGTTTGCTTCCCATGCCACAGCAACAACAAAGATGCACTGTAACGGTGAGACTACTAACAGCATGAGATGTAAAGCGCAAAGGCAGGCTGAAGAGTGGCCATCTGGGAGGTGTATAAGGTCGCATACATAATATCTTGCCTTTTACAGTATGTTTGCAAACACTAATTTTCATTGTTAGTCAAAAAAGCCCCTCTTCTTGCCTACTTGCATTTGTACCACATATGAAAACGCAACACTGCCATTCAGTGCCTCATGGAGAAGCCCTTTCCCCCCTGCCACTGCTCTGTAGCCTGGGCAGCTGCTGCTGAAGCCCATCTGTGGGAGAGGCTGCACTCACTTCTTACTGCTCAGGCTCCTTTTTTTTTTTTTTTTTACCATGATTGCCTAACTCTTTCTTAACTTTATTTTCCTGCTTGCCTCGGTAGGAAAAAGGAGGCTCGAAGAGGGACTGAAAGAACACATTTTGGCTTTGGATCAACGTTAATGAGCATTCAAGGTAATACAGTAATGGAAAATTAAAAAAAAAAAAATAGTGTGAATGAATAAAAAAACAATCACAGAATAATCTGGACATCTAATTTTCTCACACAGTGTGTAAACCTACATACCTTCACCTGCATGAACAGAGCTGCATTGATTTATGCCAACTCTTCTTAGCTTGCACATTCCGTTGATGACTCTGGCACTGAATTCAATAAGGGTGGGCAAAGCATTTCTGTGGGAGAGGAATCAGCAATCGCACAGATAAAAGCAAAACAAAAGGTGGCAAGAGCCAAACAAACAAACAAACAACAACAACAACAAAAAACAGACCTGTATTGAAAGTTGCAGGGAACTGTTTTTTTTTTCCTCTGGAGAGCAACATTGATATTCATGTAGTAAATTTTTTTTTCCCAAAAAAATATATCCTCACAGAGTTGAGATTATAGGCATTGCTTTTCCTAACACCAGAATCCTGTGCTGGAATTTGTTATGCAAAATATTCCCACAGATGGGCCCCTTGCTTAGAGTAAGGGAGTGCTAACAGCGGTATAGCGGAGCACACAAACTGTGATTTGCATGTCTAGACTTTTTTATTACAGTATTTTAGTTGCAACCTATCCTAGACAGACAAGTCAACTTCATTTTACACTTCATTATGTCTGGCTTCTTCTTTCCCAAGCAAAATCAGCATTTAGAAAGAATTGTGGAATTCAGCCTTGGCACATACCATCACCTGCAGAGCTTTTCAGCAACCTGTAGAATAAATCCATTTTTCCTACAACCCCTCTCTCTTTCCTCTGGTCAGTATTTATTCATAGCAGCTTTTAAGCAATTCTTTTCATATTCATAGAACATGGAATTACAAGATATGACAACATCTTTTAAGGAAGGTTAAGAAATCATTCAAAAAAGAGGTAGAAAGTTACAGAAGGTGGAAAAGCAATATGAAAACAAACCTAGGCTGGTGAATGACCTGGCTACAAGGCCTTCTCTATTGCTCTAGATATTGGTCTGTACAGGTATAGGAATATCGTAGCATAAGATGCATATAATCACCTTTCCTTATTTTTTTTCCTTCTCAGTACACAATAGGAGTTTAAAAGCAGGTCAGAGTGGCCCCTTGTATTGCTTTGCAATCTAACAATGCTGCAAGCGAATCGAGATCTGGAAGTTCATCTTTAGCATGCTTCACTCACAGCTCTGCAACTTGCTGATACTACCAATACAGCAAGCTCCGTATAGAGGAACTTTCTGAAATTATGTCATCTACTTCTGCTGATCTGTGTTTCCCATCACTGAGACCTTCCAAGGGCATACAGTTGCATGCTGTCCCTACCAGCCCACACTTCTGCAGACCTCAGTGGATTACCCAGGGAGATTCCCAGACAGCTTCATGGAATGCACGCACTGCTTGGTTGGTTTTTTCCTTCTGAACATGGTTCCTTTCACTGGGCTCCTTCCCCTGAAATGAGTGGGATTTCTGCACCAGGAAGGATGAAGCATCTTTACACCAGAACCTTCACAAGCACAAGGCATGCTGGAATCGTAAATATAGGCTACTGCAGGCCAGGAGAATAAGGAAACAAAAAATTTGGAATGGTTTTTACTGTTTTACATCAAACAGAAACTAAATGTTCCCCTAGGCACTGTGATGCAAATGTACTTCGTGCTAGAGCCCACTGCAGGGTCTTGAACGCTCAGAACCATTGTATAAGCTGCAGTCAGGAGAAAACACCATGCCAGTCGTTTTCAGAAGAGTCCTTCCATAAATTACTTTATTTCTCATTAAATGAGCACAGAGTCATTACCATATTAATAACAGATATGTTTATTATTACATATCCATCAGTGCGGCTTTCAATACCACTTGAAACATGCAAATCGTCCTAAGGACGAATCAGTTTTCCAGTGCTTCTTATTTAATACACAACTGCAAAGCCATTATAAATTACTGAGGAGGTATTCGGTTAAGAAATAATATAAAATAAAACCATACTGCCCATATAACCATGAATGCGTTCCTGCTACAAAGCAAGAGGCTGACAGCATTTACTGACATTCCTGAATTACCTGAAGCTTTTATGTTATATGCTTTTTATTTTTTTTCCCATTGCCTGCACATTTCTTGCCTTATAAATCAGAACCAGTCTTTCTTTGTAAGAGGAATTCCCATTCAAAGATGGTCTTTAATTTAGAAAATGCATCTAGCATCTACAATACTTCAACCAATCCAAGTTCAGTAAAAACCACTGATAACACAATAGGTTTTTTTAGAGGTTTCCTTTGTTATTTTTTATATTTCTACATTTATTGACATGGCAATCATACAATTAACTCAAATTAAGGCACTAAAATGACAACGTAAAACCCAGTAAAAGTGTTCTAAGAATAATTTACATTTCAAACAGTGCATACATGTTTGTTAACTTAATGTATGTTATCTCTTGAATTTGTAAAGCAGTACAGTATTCAGTTATAGAAACGATGTACCCCAAAATATGCTTCCAAACTCGGTTCTGTTTCCTGTTAGTTTCTAATGCCTCTAATAGTAAAATAATTCAGTATGGCTTGGCAAAAATGCATAGATTAAAGGCAATTACTTGGCTTTCCCCCCCTTTACAAACCTGCTGAATCAGTATTTTGAAAAGCGTAAGGTAAGATATTTAACACTTGGATCCATTCCAAAGTGGGTGATTAGCATTAAGGCTGTTAAGAACTCTGCAGTGAAGGCACTGAAGTTCAAGTGATAAGGCTTCATTTGTAAGCTAGTTCTGCAGTCTTCAAGAGCACAACTGTTGAGTCCTGAAAGCAATTGCAGTTCTTCTCATTGAGAAACCTTCCTCCTCTACTCAGTTTCATATGCTCATCTTGACATAAATATCCCTTTCCAAGGGTAAACAGTCCTCTTCTTTCACTGATATGAAGAAAGTTGGCTGCATTTCATCGTGATTTACAGGCTTTTTTTCTTTCTGTATCCAAAAAAGGCAGCACCTTTTTTTATACACCTAGCTAAGCTTTATTTGCTTTAACTTGCATTACACAGTAATAATTAATCTAATCTACCTTTAGGCAAACCCGCAATTAAACACCCTCAGTGTGCTTTTGTGCCAAAGCAAGGAGGAGACAGTAATAGCAATCTTAACCCTGAAGCCTGTGATAGTTATGTTGGAAGGAACAACAGCCTGTCTGCACTGCTCTGTGTGGTTAAAAAGCTGTTTTTCAGACCGCATCCCATGAGGTTCCATTAAGCACTGTACACGTGGTTAGCTGGAACAAAGAAAAAGAACAGGCAATTAATTAAAAATATTTTAAAATTTGCTTCATAACATTCCTGCAGGTTTGTTAAGAACTTCAGAGAAGAAAATTTGTTATTTTTTTCCAACTGACATGTATGATATTAAAAACATACTTACACAACCTTCCCAACTGTTCTTCACTTCTGACAACATTAGGTGAACACAGACATCAGACATGATAACGTTACTGCAGCTTTACCAGTAAACCATTCAGAGCAGACAAGCATATTTGTGGCAAACATAAGTGACCTTCGTCCCTTTCCAGGACTAGAAAAAGCTTCTGTAGGGCTAAGAGCACGCACATGCAGTTGCCAAAGCTCATCTGATGCATGGGAGGTCCATTTGAAACATGCATGAATTTCATTGGGTGCCCAAGTCCAAGTACATTAAAATAAAACACCACAACTGTGCTGATGTAAGCCTGCTATAAACTAGGAAGTGTAGTTTCAGATCTAGAAGCAGCACTGCAACTGCTGGCAAATTCATAACAAAGTTATAATCCATATCTCTTAGTGATTAAGTTATTAAAAAATAAGACTAAGAAATAACTTATGTTTGAAGTTCCCTTTAATGAGGCTGATGCAATTCTCCAAGATATCACTGCCCATCAACCACAAGGACAGTCAGATTAGACATAAATGAAATATCCTAAAATGTTTTAAAGGATGTATTAAAGTCTGTATCCATCAATTAGACCAGACTGTGCTGTACTGTCTGCCAAGAGAACAATTTCCATGTATTTAGCAAAAGCTACGATACACATGGATCTCATAGAAATCACCACTGCTTCCCTTCTCTCTTCCTCTTACTCCCTAAGTAAAGAGGTCTGGGTCAGAACTGCAGGGTGCAGTGTCTTGATATAACTCATTGCTACCTGAAAGGACTTCCAGTTTCCCACTTCCATCTTCCTGACTCCAGAGGAGAACCCCACCCTCTTACCCACCTTCCCTCAGCTCAGGCAGTCACCGCACTTCCCAGGGGGCTGATTCCACTCACCAGCTCAGTGAACCAAGGCTATGGCTTTTTTGACAGTCAGAACTGTGAATCTTTGTTCAAAGGACCAAAAAGGATCATTTCAAGCACCTACCCAGGAGCAACGACAGGAGAACAGGGAAGGAAGACTGAAAAAGGAAAATTCTCCTCTTAGAGGAGTCGTCCATCACCAGCATCAGTGGAAACAGGCTGCTGGGTTAGCTCAGCTACTGTCCAATCCCAGGTAAGTGCTCTGTATGCAACACCTTCTATATGTTTATGTAATTACATAAACATCAGGAGCACCAGAAGCAGATTTTTCTTAAGCAGGGAATTCTCCCTTCCTAAACATACAGAATATAACATGCAGTGCTATGCGAGCACAGGGTGGCCACGACACATCACAGCAGTGACTAACTGGTTCATAGTCAGCAGTAGCATCTACCTGAGGGTTAGAAAACCATCCACAACAAAACAGCATAGAACAAGTTCCTATCTCATCTTCTTCTAAAACTTACATGATAGGTATTTTTTCCTTATCTGCTCACATTGTCTGCAAGCACCACACAAGCCCCATTTTGTTACAGTTAACCCAGTGACAGCTGCCTCCCTCTGTGCTGGGGATGGAGCATGCCGCAAAGCCGCCCATGCAGCTCCTCAAGCACCAGTGAGCTGTGCGGGCTCCCCACCTTCCTCCTGCATACATCTCACACGCAGCACAGCAGGCTGGCAGCACAGCAGGCTGGCAGCACACACGTACCTAGCGCTCTTGCTGGCCAGCAGCTGTGCCTCTCTAAATTGCTTATGCTCAATATTCCTCTTCCTCCATACTTGGTGCCTACAATACGCAGCGGTAAAACAGAGCTTGCTGTAGATTAATTACATGTTCTGAGAAACTATTTCCATGTTAAGTAAGAAACAAAATTCCAAAGGTTAAACATCAATTACACCATCAAGTTTGCTGAGGGATTCAGGCCAAAAACTCTTGGAGAGTCACACAGTTGTTATCTGTTTGATTCACATCGCAGTCTGCGCTCCAAGACGTTGAAAAGATGCAGGATACTGTGTGAGTATTCATTTCTGAGTTGTGAGAATGTGAAATAAAGAAAGGGAACTTTACAAGGGCAAGGTTTGGCAGCAAACTTGGGGAAGAACAAATATACTCAACAGAGAATGATTTCCAAAATGTACAGTCAAGATCATTTCAGTGTTGTTTTAGATTATCCCAATTAATACAACTTAAAGATGCACATAAATGGCATATTACAATAATTCTTTCCAATCCCATTTCAACCTTTAAAGAGAAACCTATTATATGTTCCAGGAAAATAGTAAAAATGCACTTTTCTTTTACTGACATCATTCTTTACATTAAAGGCTGAGAAATGTCCCTTACAGATGGAAATGAAGCATAACCTGCAAGCAGATATTTCAAATAGAGTTTATCCTGAAAATTTCACATCAGTTGATCATGTAAGGGTCCCTTTGTAGGAAGTCTCTCATGGCAACTGCAGGGGTGGGTGGCAGCAGAAGGAGGAGCTGAAGTTCTGCTCCAGAGCAGCTGCTCATCCCACAGTGCCACCGTGCACAGGGACACAGGACAGCGATACACATTTCAGAAAAGAAAAACTAACAGATACTAAATGAAAACATTTTCATTGCTTTTCTCCAGTTTTCTGACAGTTCCAGGCCTAAAGTAATATTCCCAGTTAACGTTATCTTAAGGACCTTCACTGAACATACCTGTAGCTCAAACTATAATCACCTGTGTTTTAGTAATAATTACTGGAGCAAGAAAATCAGCACTCTTTGTAGCTTTTCTTTTATATTACTCGTGTCTGAAGGTGGATGTTCCATAATATGCTCAGTGCCTCCTTGTGCACAGAAGTTTGCATTTAACACACTTCATGCAAGGAATGTTTGGCAGTGCTTCCAAATTGATGTCCTTCAATCCGGAATGACTCTTTCCTTAACTTCCACTTCAAACTGTCCACCTACTCACTTATTCTTGGAGAAAGAAACGTGCTATACTGTGTGAGGAGGTGGATTAAAAATAAATTTACCATGTCCTAGCATTAAAATAAGGATATTTTAAACCTGGCTCTGGTTAACGCATAGGGCCACAAACAGCTTTACTAACAACTCGTGGGACAGAAGAAGACAGGAAATGAGAGAGCAAAGAAACAATGAATTCTGTCTATTCCTCTTTCATGATTTGAGCACAGCTTTAGACAACCTGTTCTACAGTCTTCACTATGGCACAATTTCCTCTTAAATAAGATTTTACAAACAGATATCTATGGTTTTTAGTTAAAAAGATTCACAGCCTTCGTAGTTTCTCACCTCGTTTTTCCAGAAGTATTTTTAACAGCTTTTCGGAATGACTGGTTTGCTGAGGATCTTGTAGACATAGTTCTAGGAGAAGCACGAACAAAAGTAGAAGGTGGGTTCTTAGGGATCTTCTTTACTAAATGAGTTACCCATTTCTTCTGTTCATCCTGACAGGATGCCAGCAACAACATATCTCTTGCTGAAGTTACGTCGTAACTCACTGTAAGTAAAAGGCAGAAGATGAATTCCTTATCAGAATGAGAAATATGACCTACCAGTTGTTCCACCAGAAAACATACCTGGTGGCACCAACATTACACACCTGGAATGCTTCGTATTTTTAGAAGACGACAACCAGCAGGGGAAATTACAAATATTATTTCAGTATTTGTCTCTCTTTATTAATACTCTTGACTTTAATACTCAAGTAATGAGACAACTTGCACTGATTTCAGGCTTATGCTAAAAAGCTGTGTGGATATCTTATGACTGACTTCCAGAGCACGTATCCCAAATACTCCATTTCACAGGAGCACAGAGAGGAAACTTTGCCCCCAGTCCGTGAAGTGGCTGAAGAACCACTCTTCAAAGGTCTTATCACAGCTTGGTGATGTGGTCACTGCATTGTCCCCAACACAGCCAAATATCAGCTGACAGAAAGAATGGTTCAGGAACCAAGTAGTGGACCAGCACCTGGGCAAAAACCCTTGTGCTCTCACAGCTGAGCCACATTACTTACACCAAAGGCCTCCCTGCAAAGGCTTCTCAAAGCTGCCTCTTCATAAGCAGTACTGATACCTTTGCATGGTGCAATTAACTCCTCCTTTTTATCCAAGTGGTCTCTATGGCACTTCACATGGCATCTTCGACATTCCAGGGCAGCTGGGGGCTTGAAGACATGCCAAAGAGGTTTGGCACAGGCCTCGCAGTTGGCTGGAAAGTGGTATATTGTTGGAATAAATTCATGGCCTTTATGATTTAGGAAATTTGTCTTCTCTGCAGGCTGGACTGACTCTACCTCCACATCCTTCCTGCATTCCCCCTCATTAGCATACAAAATCTGAAAAAGGAATACTGCATGTTACTGTTGAAGCACTAAATATTTCTATACAATTTCTAAAATCACCAAATGTTTTCTTGAAAAGAATTGGAACAGGAATGACAATTCACTTTCTTTTTACCTGGAATATTTTAGGAATTTCTTCAGTTTCTGCTCTATATACATCTCCTTGAGTTACAGGTCGGACATGGAACAGCTTACTAGATTAAAAGAAAGACCAATCAGAAAATGTGACTATAATCAAATTGCTTTCAAGTTCTTCCAAATCTTGTTTATACAAGCAAAATTACATACTTCAAGGCTGCAATATGGTTTTAGGAATTCACTATACCTTATAGATCTTGTCTAGTAAATCTAGTTGGTCTTACCCTAGTAAAACCTAAACATTTCATAGCATGAAAGAGGATGATGTTACAACAGATTCAAGACACACTGTGGCAAACTTAGCTGTGAAAAAGGCTTTCCAATTCTTTCTTAGAACACTGCGAAGTCTATACTATTACTAAAAAAGCATACTGATAACCCTGGATGGAAGTACAGTTTGTTGGTTGTTTTTCTCCCCCTTTGTCATATTATCAGTTGAGAAGCAATCAATGCCAGAAGATCATAAAGATTGATCTGGGGCACAAAGTGTTGAAAATGCTGTTAAAACTGAAACAAATGTCATCCCGCAATGGGTGAAGATCTAAGGCCTATCCAGCCCAACATTCTCTTTTCAGCAGTAGCCATAACAGACGTTTATGAAAAGAGAATAAGAAACAACTCAAAGAGAAAATAATGCCTTGCCTGTTTACAAGCAAATGGCAGCTTAAGCGCACCCTGATTTGGTGATTCCTTACAGACCCTAAAATTCATAGTCACTGGTAGACTGCTTCATGCATTTTAAAGCCTTTGTCCAATTACTACTCTATGAAGTTCCATAACATTCAGCTGTTCAAATATCACAGCCAATCATGTAACAGTGATGGCTTTCAGTGATGAAACATCCTTCCTTACATACAACCAACATACAGAGGAAACTATTTATTTGTTTTTCCTCTTTAATAGAAATTGTCTGGAAAATTTAGAAATGCTTTGAGCTTGGTCAACACCAATCCCTTCTCACACTGCAAGAACAAGTTATGAGGCAAGGGAATGAGACCTAAAATCAGAGAACCTGTACCTTACTTTGGTGTGACCCACAGATATCATGACCTGCATTAGAAAACAGCTATTTGAAGTAACAGTAACCAGTCATTAAAATATCGGGGAGCTGTGCCACAACTTACCACCCATCCCATACTTTAACCAGCACAGATAAAAGGTAACACCAAATCACAAAAAGAGAAAGAACAGGTAGGTTCCACTGTTTCTGTCTCTGTCATAATAAACCTCATCTCTTCTGCAAAAACAGACCAGTGAATGCAGAAAGACCCACACTATCCTGTGATTCAGTTTTTAGCCACAGCAATACCAAAAAACCCCAAAACATAGGATCTGCCATTAAAGATAACAGCATCCTGAAATACAGGTAAAAAGACATTTTCCAATTAGAACAGGAAATTCAAAATTATTTACGGAATTTTGATTCCAAGCTGACAGATCTCTTATCAGCTTGAACATAGTGCTCTTTTGTCAACACAAAGCTAACAGTAACTGTACTTACTCTATGTCTAGTACCATGGATGGATTAGACTGGTCCTTGTCCTTTTCATCATTATAGAACAGTATCTTTTTACTGCTCACCACAACATACTGGGAAGAGAAAAGGAAAAAACAAGTTAAAATTGAATACTAAAAAGAAACATTTATCCAGTTGTATTTTCCTAAGAACATGAAAAATCTTTTCTTTCTTTTTTTTTTTTTTTTTTCACTCAATCTTTTCAACTAGTATCAAGAGATATTTAAGTCCTCACCAGAGATACTTCTGACAGCTGTGCAACACTACAGCCACAGTGACTTTGTATTGCCATGGCAGAACTCTACAGTGTCCACAGTGACTTTGGGAGTCTATCCATACAGAACTCAAATTTCATTTGAGACTGCAAAGTTGATATGAAAAATTACTCCAATCCTGAGCAGCTCCTAGAATGCAGAGTATCACTTGTTGATACGTTGCAAACACCTCCTGTAGTCCAGAGACCTGCGGGACTAACTGTGCTTTGCACCAAATAACTGGTAGCCTGAAGGAGTTAGCAAACTCAGCTCAGAATCTACTTCCTATCTAATGGTCTAATATAACAAGGAGCAAAAGTAAAGCAGCACTAAGAGTGAACGGGTGATAGTCTGGTATACATTCCAAATCTAGGAATAAACTGAAACAGTAAAGGAAAAGTTTGCAGAGGAAGAGAAATGAACATTCTTTTGCAGCATTCCTCTTTCCCAAACGTACAGTATGCCTGCAGCATCTGCCCCCCCATCCCCAAAAGTCCATTTATATTGTCCTCAATTTAAAGTACACAGACAGTATCCCAGTGCTGCTCCTAATCACACAGAATTATAAAAACCGGTTCAGATGACAGGAATTACAAAGCACCTGCCCAGAGAAAACAAGTTTTGTAACCTACAAGAGAGTAAAGGTCAAATACTTCTAACCTAAGCACTTCCCAATGAGCTCAGATCTGTAGCATTCACTGCTCATTGCTCTTCACTAGGACCTGCAAGTCCAACGTCTTTGCTACAACTGTCCATAAGCAAAAGCTCAACCATCACTGTGGCAGTCTCCTCCCCTGTAGTTTCAAGCATTTTAGAAACTATATATTAAAGGTATATGTATAAAAAAAAGGATCTAGAAGACTGGTCCATCCATATTCATCTCCACATTCTGGTATAATACAACTCAAAAGTAAGGGAAATAAGAGAATACACAAACAATTCATCTTGAATTCCAGTTACTGGTAGGTAATTGAATGAGTTTCCGCATGACATACATAGTACTGACTATTCTGTAAATGTTGATCACTCCTCCTTACAAGAGGAGTTTCCTCATTACACAGGAATGAGTCTGACTTCATAATCTGAATATGAAAGTGACCTTAGCAAGTTCACAGGAAAATGTTTGACACATATGTTCCTCAAGCTGCACGCTTCAGCTGAGCACATCTCAACTACTGATCTCAGCTCCTCAGTCAGAAGTCTTTAATACAAAGCCCAACCAAGGTGAGTAATTGCTACATCTTCATGGTGCAAGCCTCTTGCAATCTGTCCCAATGTAGAAAACATCTGTGCTTGTACTTTTTTGATCTACTTCAACAGAAAGCTGATGCCTTCTTTGCCTTTGAAGTATACAATTCCGCCTTTCACAGTAAAAGAAAAGCCTTAAAATGACTACAAATGCAAATTCTGATTATGACAGAATTCAGTTATCAGACTGTTGACACTGTTTCAGATGCAGTGTAGTTCAGCCAAGAAAATACACGCTCCAGTCAACATGGCCCCTCATTCAACAGCTTGAAACTCAGCTTAACAAATCTTGTCAGCATGATTTGTTTTACAGAGGCAACCACTTATAGCTCAAATGCCCTCAAAGTGCAGGACCTATTTTTTAAACTAGAAGAGCATGAATGGAGTAACTGACTGCAATATCTTGCTTGCCTGAAGAAGTTCGAGTCTTTTAGTGGAGAAGCTGAGTTTATTTGAAGTTTATAAATTTAATCATCCAAGGGTGAATTAATATTCTAGAAGACACGTAGAGATGTCTATAAGATGTATTCCAACAGAAAAAGGATGTAGTACTTTAGATGATTAAGAGCAGAATAAAGTAATGTGTTTTGTGCCAAAGCAATGCCAAAAGTTTGACAGCAAGCTGGATATATCAATTCTAGAACAATAAAAGTCAGACAGCCTTAGATATCAAAGAAAAATTTCTGATACATGTTGCATATCTGTCCTTCTGTTACATCATTTTCTTTCTCTATAAAGCAATATATACATGCTGGAATATTCTCATTACTTTTTTTGCTTCTTAAACATGAGCTGTAAAACCAATTCCACTGCATGCCTAAAAACAAAACAACAAGAACAACATTTTTCAAGGGAGCTAGGGAAGAAAAAAAGAAATCCATCTGTACCTGTTTCTTCCAGCCATGCCGCTTTATGTTTCCCTTGTTTGGTATTGAAAGCCAACCTTCAAGCCTTGATTCTAGTTTAAAAAAAAAAACAAAAACAAAAACCAGTAAGTAATTGTATATATTTATGTTATTATTTATATTAACTATATATAGTAAAGCAAAATAACACAAAGCAAACTGATTACTAGAAAGGATAATGTACTACATGCAGTAATAGGCAATTACCAATTCAGCAAAGCAGAATAAAAAGCACAGCTGAATAAAAGGAAGATATAAGCATTTATTTCATGCTCCATCACAAGCTAACACTTTATCACACAGTTACTGCAGAATAAAGTGAAGCTGCTTTCCTTGATGTCAACATTTAAACACAATGTACACTGTTTGCAAAGGGTCAGGCCACAGAAAAGACTTGGCTTTGGAAGTGTGTTACAGCTTAAATGGAGGATGATTCAGAAATTTTCAGTGTAAATACCATTTAACACTCATAGGGTCTACATGAAAATATTCAGCAGGAAAATGCAGCAAGTAAATCAGATCCACATTTCCCAAGGGAAACACAAAGAACAGTGCACGAGAGCAAGCAAAGCTACACAGGAGTTCCGTTACTCACAGAAGATAAGCATAGGAGATAAATAAATAAGGAATGCAGGAAGAATCAACTAGATATCAGGAATAAAAGACAAGCATTTTATTCAGATTTTCAGTGGACAGCTTTTCAAAAATTACTTTAAAATCATATATTTTGCTATCATGAAATTAGCAATTTAACAATTCTACAGAGAAAGGTCACAAGAAAAACAAGTCCACCTGACTGACAGCCCCACCTGGCATTAAAACTAGGTATGAAACAAACACAGCTTTCCAACATTATTCCTACAACATGCAATATTTAAAAGTGAACTACAATAAAGAAATAAGAAGACAGAATCACTTCTTTATCATTTCTGAGCAGACTAGAGAAAAGTCTCAAAATACTGAGTGGGTACAGTGAACTGCTCAAATCCTATCTGGAGAAAAGCAGAACTCTTTTCAACCAGAAATCTGCCTTGAACAATTAAGGAATACCAGACTTCCCTGCCTCTTCGACCTGTTTAAGACTTGCAGAGAGGGCCTGAGAGGCCCCCTCTCCTCCTCCTAGCTCTTAATAATCCATGGCTTTAGAAATGGAAACATACTGTCTATAGGCATCGCAGCTAATGCTCACCTTACGTTGAGTATTTGTTCCTTGACAATTTAATTTTACCTCAAGAAAAGACTATTCTTTTTTTTCAGCATTTTTTTAATATGCTAAAGGTGAAGTTCCCTTTTGAAGAAAAAAAAAAACAAACAAAAACAACCTGATTACCTGCTACTAATGAACATACTACTGTGGTTCTAAAGGAATACTGCACTGCACATCTTGGGTAATTGTGCCATATGAAAATTTGGAAAGACCCAATAATGACAGATTTTAAAGAAGCATCAGGTACTACGTTGTTTATACAGACAGCATGAGGAGGAATATTTTCCTAAGCTCACTTCTATTTCAGTACATCCTGTAGAAAGTGGGTAAGTTATTACAAGTGAATTGGTTGACATTCTTTTCTGTCTACTATAAATCTATTCTAGTGAGCAAATACTATTTGAATGAGAGATAATTTCTGAACTGTGAATAACATATTGCAGTCAAAAATATTTTCTGAATGTGCCCCTTTTCAGCAACAGCTAACATGAGACTGGAACTAAATGTACTTGTGAAAGGGTAGATGAGCTATTTTTGTTCCAGCCTTGCCACAAACGCTCATCTTGAGTAATATTTACAGTGCTTTTTGATTTCCCTTGACAAAGTTAGCTAACAACTGCAAATGCCCATCTGGACATTTCGCAAATATCTGATCCAGATGAATAATATTTATGAGTGTTCTGATTAAGTAATTAAGAAAATATGAGCTACCCAGACTATGAAAAAGATTTTTCCAACTTTCTCTCTAAAAAGCAACAGGAAGGAGTTAGGCCTTGAAAAGACCTGATGGCCAGCTGGACCCAAACAGAATATGAAGAAAAAACATCTGTGAAAACTGTAACTCTTATACTTCTCTCTCAATGCATATTAAAAGATGGATTTGCATTTTAAACATCTTTATGGCTAATATTCATATTGCCACAATAGTGACTCTGGATGAGAAACAGGAGTTCTAACACTGGAGACACCAACTGAAACGTGAGTCTTGTTGAAGGCCAGCAACAAGCAGAAGATCCCAGCTCCAGTTCTTCTTGACATTTTTACTCCATGATACAGATTGTTTTTGAGTGTATCTTAAGTAAATATGCTGAAAACACAAATCAGCATGAACAGACTGACTCACCAGAGGGACACAAAGCCATCCAGGGGTCCCTGACAGGCTGGGGAGATGGGCTGACAAGAATCTCATGAAGTTAAAAAAGGAGAAGAGCAGAGTCCTGCACCTGGACAGGAACAACCTCATACACTAGGACACAGAGGAGGGCAGGACTTGGGGACCCAAGTGGACACCAAGGCTGTGGAGTTTCCTCCCTGGATATCTTCAAAAGTCACCTGGACATGGTGATGGCTGATGGGCAACTTGCTCTCAGTGTCCTCATTTGAGCAGAAGCTTCACTACAAGACCTCCAAAGGTCCCTTCCAGCCTTAACCTATGATTCTGTTATTTTCTCTTTTATGGCATGTATACTTTAAAGACTGGCTTTCTTCTCCTGATTACAAAGCTAGTGTAGTTCTTCTGTACTCTCTACTCGACTAACAAAACTGTGAAATATGATCATACTAATGTCACAATCTCCTTAACTTATGTAAATTGCTTCTTATTCAGATTCTGATCAATTCAGATCCTCACTCAAACAAACAAAAAACCCAACACATTCTAAAGACAAAATCAAAACATATTTAAAAAACATACACGAGATGTCCTAATAACATATATTAGAGGTCCTACCTGTATGAAATACTAACATCAGAAGCACAACTGCAGTAAAAGTAAGAGGCATGTGGAAAGAAGAGGGTAAAAAATGAAGGGAAGTGAAAGGTTGGTAAAGTAGAAATAGAGGAGTAAAGAAGACAAAGGGAAAGACTGTAAGAAGTTCCAGTAATTACGATATTTTAATTAACAGTGATAAAATTATAGCTGATTTGCCACAACTTGATACATTTCTGCGCCCAAATTCAAAGTGGCAGTTTGGAAAGACACTAAAAAATGCACCTTTGCAAAGGGAAAACTGGAAACAACATACCATATGAGGCAGTCAAAGAAAGAGCACACTCCTATAAACTTCCCCAGATCTAGCAGACAGTGTTACACTGACTTAATATTAATTTTAAAGAAATAGAGAAGATGTTACCAGATGGAGGCAAGTGATGAGGGTTTGGGTTTTTTTTTTTCAGTATATTACAAAACAGACATTTTGCTGAAAATGGTGGAGAAAGTGATGATTATTATTAACCCTTTCTAGGGATATAGAAACGTGAACATACTGATTACACTCTGCAAATATTGAGGCGTGGGAAATCACTAACCAGTGTTAACAGTGGGCCTCCAAATACAATGTCTGCAACTGAAGCTATATGGGAATCACCAGCTTATATGTGCTATTCTTCATACTCTGGTATGCATTATAGAAATTTCTACAGTTTGGTGGGTTGGTTTTTTTTTCCTTCCACACAGACAACTGTTGCCACTTTTCATAAAAATGCTACATTAGTATGACTATCAAACAAAATCAAGGCAAGTTTGCATTCAAGATATAAAATGCACTATGGAAATATGCTGGCCCTCTAATGGATTCACTCTACACTGCAAACTGTAGTTACTATATTCAGACAGCAGTGACAGCTATATTCCTTCCACAAAAGTGGAATGTTATGGTAATACCATGCCGTAAAGTAATTAGAAGACTAAGTGTGAGCAGCTGAGCCATGAAACTGAAAAATAAGTTCAAAAAATACAAGTAGAAATGTGACACAGAAAGATAGTCACAAGGTATTTTCAAGAAGGTAGTGACCTGTTTGAAAGACTGGAAGAATGGACCTTCCAAAATTGTGTATATGCACAGAAACAACTACCTCAAATACACTTTCCTCTTACCTGAAAGATTTCCATCAATTTCATCTGGCTGTAGACTAGAAACGCTGGTAGAATCCATTCCTTGCTGGAGATCCAAAATTTTCCTTCGTAATTGTTCTATGTCACTCTCTTTACTATCCAGCTGCATCTGTAGCTCATTCCTGTATGTTGATTCTTCTGCTAGTTGCTGTATTTATATACACATACATCATCACCATGGTATCAAAAATATGGGAGCAAAGTATTTAAAAACAAAACCTTACTACTTCTTTTTGCCTCAAAATCTCTAGACACTTTTGATAGCATTGACATAAATTATTATCATAAAAATGTTCCTAAAGTCTAGGAAAAAAGGCTAAATATAAAAAACAAAGCAGTACATTGAAGTAGAAAATGTTAATAGAACTTATAACAAAAAATTTAATCTTCCAGATAAAAACCATATGAATAATGTACTATGCAATGTTCAGTTTTCATAATGTACCAGTCACTTCCACAGTTACCGAGTGAGAAAGGAGAAATGAATGAGAACAACACAGCTGCACTAAAATTCTAGTCTAGTACATCAGGAACAGAACTCCTTTTCTCAAGTGCACTAGTAGCTGCACGTTTTCCCTGGGCAAAGAACTTCATAATGTGACAAAAATGAAGATAATTTTACCGCTTGCATTTCATTAAGCTCCTTCTGGTATTTCACTACCATCTGATTGAATTTCTCTTTTTCTTGATTAAGCTCCAGTTGTAGCTTTCGGTTTTCCTTGTCTTTCTTCCTCAAATCTTGCATGCTTGCTTTTTTTCTATCTATTTTAAAATCTTTTCTATTCATGATCTCAGCCAGTTTGTTGACAGCCTGTTACAAGAAACAGAAGATAAGTCAGAAAAGTTATATATGAAAGCACGGGTCACATAAACCTTCCAAGTTTATCTAGTTGGGGGATTAGCAAAAATGTGCAAGTCTTCATGATCTAAGAACAGAATGGGAGAGGTGTACTTCAATAAATCATTGTAATTAATTCCAAAACTGAAAACATATCCCTGGGGGTATATTAAAATGTGTACCTCAGTTACTGTATTTCTCACAGTGACACCCAATTCATATAGCAAAAATGGAGATAAGAGCTTAAAAAAGATAAATTCTCACCCCATTCCAACTTCTCCAATCATCTACACCTGTCTTCAGTAAGTGCAGATTTCCCAAAACCACAGCAATGTAGCTGGTACAGAAAAACTTATCTCAAGCCCCCCAAAAATACTTCACCAGTATTAATGGTCCTTACTATCCTAGTAATAATTCCGAAAAGCCCTCATAATCAATTTTATTTCAACTCTAAATATCAGTACTATACATCATGATTAGCATTAAAGTAACAAATCCCAAGCACTAAGAGCTAGTTGCACAAAAAAAAATAAATGTTGAAATATATCTGATATGCAACATCATTTTTACTTTATTCAGTTATGTAAGAGTTATACCTGTGTCTTCAGAGTTCTCTCAGTGTTGATACTCTTCTCATACTGCATTCTAATATTGTTAATTTCTTCCTCTTTTTTCAGCTTATATTCTGTTAAAGTAAGATTCAACTTTGAGATTTTAGGACAAGGTAAGTATTCCTAAGCTTAATCACATAAAACTGTACCATTCTGTTTCCCCTTATTCCTATTGCATCACCTAAATAATGATAAATGTTACTGATCTGATAAATGTTACTGGTCTTGTGCTACTATTCCTATTTACTGAAGGCACCAAGATGAAATACTATAAACAACCTATCTATCATACCTGCAGTCTCCTGATTTTTCTCAGGATTTCTAAGCATTTTATTGTTAAGAATTCCTCCATCAAAACTACAAGCACTTAATGAATAATTTTCAAATACTTAAAACTAACAAACATGACAAAACTAACATATATACATATAAACTGAAAACTTTCTCACCCAGTCCCTGCAAAATCCCTGCACTTACTGAAATGCAGAACAAAAGGAAAATATTCCTGCTTACATAGTGTTTAAAACAACACTGGCATCTCAACTGATAAGGTCTTTCCTCTTACACTTAACAGATACTAAAATGTATGTTCTGATTACACGTTCCTTGCTCAAATGCAGAATCACAAGCAACTTCAACAATGCATTTTCCACTTATCCTGAATACAAGGAATTAGAATGCAAATCCCCCTATAAGAGCATAATTCTAAATTAAAGGATGTCTTAAGGAAGATGAAATATCAATGCTGTCTTAATGTACCTTCCAGAGACAAAAACAAACACTTCATTAAGTACACTGCATGCAATGTGAAATGAGTGAAATACCACTTTCCCTTAACACTTTTCATGCATTCGAGTTAGGGCTGGTAGAAAGAGGTTGGACAGACAGGGTAAGGAAGAGCTGTACCAGGCAGGCATTCCTGATAATGCCTGCAGGAACTTGCATTCTAACTTGCTTTAAAAACTGAGGGAAGCAGGGGCAGCAGCTCACTTATTTCTGCCTGCTGAAGCTGAGGTTTTAATTGTTCTTAACAATAAAAAGGCAGCATATGGGAATGGAACAAATACAATAGAGAGTAGCAATTCACATGCAATTTCAGGATGACACATTTTCCATCAAGTCACTTCACCACTACGGAGGACATACAGGAATGCTTTTCCAATTTCCCCATTTTCATTTTCACACGTGCTTCAAATTCATTTGTCCTTCATTACAAGTGATTTAAAACTCCAAAGATGACATACCTTCTTCCTGTTTCTTCATTTTTTCACTGATCTCTGAATTTTCTTTTGTTATTAGATCAACATCTTTGGTTAACGTGCTGTTAGTTTCTTCCAGCTAAATGAAAACAAATACATTTTAAGACAGAGATCTTGCCATATTTGAAAGATAATTTTCTTAAATATCCTTAATCTGTAACAGCCTTTTACTTGGGATGTCTTCAAGTGTGCATTAAAAAAACTGCTTACCTTTCAAAATTGAACTATAAAAAAGGTACATTTCCTCTAAGCTGCCTTGACATACCAGAAGGTTCTAGAATACAACTGGTCTCACAAAGCATCTTTTTAAAAATCCTCTTTACAAAACTGAAAATACTCTAGCATACAATTAAAAATTCAGTCAAAAATAGATTGCAGTCATTGAATGTGGTGGTTTACAATTAATTGTGTGGCACTTGAGAAAAAACAGTACCCAGAGGGCAGATCCAATGGATGTAGAAAGAAAAGCAGCAGATGATAGAAACCCAGCATTCAAGGCTACAGAAGATTCAATGAACCAGCTGCTAAATAACTGATGTTTATAATGAAAAATAGGCAACAATCAGTACAACAACAAAACTAAATTTTGTCTGAGTCAAAGTATATAGAGGTAAATATTCAAACAGGTTTGCAAAAAAAAAAAAAAAAAAAAACTGTAAAGGAAAACCATTATGCTTTGAATATGTTAACTGCCAGAAGGCACAATCAAGATCACTTTGCTAGCTACTTAACGAGTATACATTAAAAGCATTATCAGAGTATTTGAAACCAGCAAGAATACTGACACAAAGGTACTCTTTCTATGCCCTGCTGACACAGTCTAAACGTTTTTTAAAAAATTGTTCCATTTTGGAAAGTCAGAGCTCTTAAAAGGGCACAGATTGTAGGTGCAATTAACATCGCTTTCACTGCCTTATAGAGATCTAACATGTAGCAGTACTAACAGAAAACTGATCCAAGATGAACCATTACAGTCACTTTTCCAATCCCAGGACTCTTAAGAGCTTCTGCATACTGTCAAAGGGGAAAATGGTGACAGAATTGCAATGCTGTATAATATATATAGCATATATATATCTCTGTGTGTGTGTGTGCGTATATGCACAGACACACACACACAGATTACTATTTGAAAACTCGGTTACAGACATATATAAGCATGATATTAATACTCAACAGCTATGCTATAAAGTATCTTCAAAAACTGCAGGGGGAGTGACAAGGGGCTCTTTTAAATAAATGGTCTAGCAGAAGGAAAAATCTCAAGATTTCCATGTATATATACATATTTTTAAGATTAAGCAGTTTTACAGTAAGATCCTACAGTACACCATCTAAAGTTTTTCAAAAAATTTACATACATTGAGCAATGACAGGAATCAGCTGGAAAAAGCTTAATAACTGAATTATAGACATTGGCTTCATGTACAGTATGAGCTCATCTCAGATTCTCACCGTCTACATTTCTTTGTTAGTCCAGATGATGGGATTTAAATGTTTTAATTGTCTGAGCTCAAAACTCAGATACTTAAATAATCATTAATTATTCCCACAAGACATTACAAATTAAAATAAAAAGATTTTTCTTTCCAGTTGGATGATATATTTAGGTACTATTTAATCATGTAATTTACCCTTCTTATGATGCTGTCCTTATCCGTCATTTCTTGCCTATGTCGTGATGCTGCTTTTTTGCTCTCCTGACTCAATTCAAAATACTGCTCTTCAAGAAGTGCCCGTGCCAACTGTTCTGACTCAGCTTTGGTTTCAGCTAAATCCAGCTGTGTAGTGAGTGTTTCTCTGTAAAAAGGACATTCAGATTTTGCTTTTCTATGCAAAACGTTCCGTATTTTCAGGAAAAACAAACAAACACAAATTATACCATTCAGTCAGTTATCATTACCTTAGTTACCTAAAAACAAAAATTTGATTTTAAAACAAAACTGTGTGCATGTTATATTTTGATGAACAAAAAGCTACAGCAGTCAGCTTACTACAGTTCAATTACAATTTCAGTCATCCACAAAAAAACAATCTTTTGGAATTGAAGTTTCACGTTATCCTGTCTTTGAGAAATAAGAAATTTGAATTTCATCTACTCAGTCCTACCAATATTAGCTGATACTTCACACAGGATTACTGCTCATGTGCTCTCACCTGTTTGAGCAAGAAAACCACGTAACATTTCTGAAAATGTACTTAGTGGTTCTAAGGAGGTTTTGGCATGAAGAGTTGCAAATTCTGTCTGCCGCTTGACAAGCAGTTCAGCACGCAAGCTAAACTGTCTTGCTCTCACTTGGAGTACAGGCAGAGCACTCATATGCACTTGCAAGGAAACCTATGTCAAGCCAGTCTACTACCCAGGAGTCAAAGGTACCCAGCAACACGGGACACAGCTCACAATGTGGAGGAAAACAAAGGCAGCAATACGTTGCTGCAGTGTGGGCTTCAGAACAGACGTCTTTCCTACACTACAAAATAAAATGTCATTTATGCTGTGAAGAAAGAATTGCTATGGAATCCACTGATGTGAAATAATGTAGCAGATGTGGGCCTCTACTGTAAAAAGGTAACTATCAAGATATATTTAGTTTGTCTTAAATCCCATATATAAACACAAAAAAGACATCTGTAACAAACACAAGATTGTGGTGTAGAGAGAGGGAATAAATCGAATCCATAAAAGCAGGTGATGGAAGAACTGAAGTCTCTCCTTCTCTGTTTTTTTGTTTGCTTGTTTTTAAGTTGGATACTATTCTTGACAACTTTGTTTAGATATGTATTCTACTCTTATATCGTATTTATTACCACATCCTTGCTTTCTTCCTTTCTTATCTGATTAAAACACATCACTTAAATTGCAAAAACATTCTCCCTTTAGATTGCTTAGAAATAATGACACTCGAGCGCAACAGGAGAAATTGTGTCATATGGATGAGGCTAAATCCCCTTCCTCAAATATTAAGTAAATTAATAAATTGGAAAAATAAGCTTAGAATAATTCTTTACTCATTTTCTAACTTTGAAGACAGTGTATCACAACTAACAAAATGTTGAATTAACACAGCGGGTTTAGTTTTAAGTAATCAGGGTACACTAAAGTCAGAATTTAAAGTATTTTCATTATCTTTTCCTTAAATTATTCTCTTGCAGATGGAAATATATTAAATACTAATGAGGATGGTGTAGTAATCAAATCAAAACAGTTTTACAAACAAAAGGACAAGTAGAGACTGGAATACTTTTTCCAAAATTTTACATCCTCTGAAATTCTTAGAAGTCAACACTCTTCTTCCAGCTGTTATGCTTCAAATCCATACAAATATAAATTGCCATATTTGTCTGTCAGCATAGGCAATATCGTGTGTATTTGCCATCTTGCAGAGCATTACAGAACAGTTCTGAAGCCTGTCTGCTTCGAAAGAACTAAATATTTCACATCTGATTCTAATCATCAGAAGTGAAAAACTTAGTATGGAATAACTTATGCCTATTGACAAAAACAATGGGCGTACTTCTCATTTTGCAATTCCTGCATTTTTCTTTGAGTTTCTTTATTCTTCTCATCAATTTCTTCCTTCAGTTCCTTAACCTGAGTTTTGTAAAGTGTCTGTAAAAGAAAGCATAAAAATAAAAGAATCATTATTCAAATTCCATACTATAATTCTTCATGGTTTTGGTACCTGGTTGGTTTTAATTTGTCAAACCAACAAATAACAGTACTACCTTTAATAATAATCTCCTCCACTCCTGCCCAGTATGCTCCCTTCCAGTTACTCTTGTATTGGGAAATGATGTGATAGGGTTAGTTTTCAGTTGTCTAGTCTGGCTTTCTACATAATTGTACAACCACATCCACTGACAAACTGGAAGGCTAGTGCTGGGGCAAGCAATCTTCTTGGAGACAATGGCACCAAAGTGCATCCTCTTTTAGCATCACTGCCCCAAAACATCAGTCAAAATGAAGCTTAATCCTGCCCTACACTTTAATCTGTTCTATTCTGTTTGTATCCATGCTTCTAGTCTGCAAATTTTATATACAGATTGATTTTGCCTTAACTAATCCAACAGAGGTCTTGTCTATGTGAACGACTTTTGTTCTTAATCACTCTATTAAAAACATCACTAATTCAGTAAGTTAAAATTTGATCTCCCGGAGCAAAGTACTTTGGCCAAGTTTTCAGAATGCATTAGCAGTATTTTGTTTAGACTGTAAGCTTGTGAAAAAAAAAAAAAAAACAGAACACCATACACTGGATTTCCCTATTGGCAGTGCATTATGTAGAAATGCACAAAAACCTGGAATGTATGATAAAATCACAGTGACATGCACTGTGGTAAACACCAACATTTTTTTACTGCTCCTCCAAGGAAGAACTGAATTTAAAGAGTCCTTCCAAAAGTAAAACATATCAGTGTGTAATCACAAATTATTTAAAGTTCTGGCATTACAGAAGTTCTCATTTTACTGTTTCTGTTCACAGAAATAGAACACACCAGACTCAATCCATGAAATACACATATTGGCTCCGTGGGCTCTTCCATACTCTTTGGGGACTCAGGTACAGAGATGCTATCTTTTTATAAAGATGAGGGAGAAGTGCCAAGTACTATCAGATCTACGGTTTTTATACATATTTATAGTAGATCAATTACACAGAATATATTCCAGTAAATATTAAGATTTTGAGCTCTTTATGAAATTTGCACGTCAGAAAAATATCAAGATAACAAAAGCAACTACTCCACTGAATAATTAAGACAATTGAGTCATTCATTACAACGTAACAGAAAATTTGACAAGCGAGCAACTAAAAGGGAATATATAAAACAGACTGAAACAACATATCAGTGTTCACTAATTTATTGTTCATTTTTGCAATTCAAGTAGATTTTGTGAATTGCTGATTTATGTCAGGTTATTGCTGTTTACATTTTAAAACTTAAATACGCCTAACTATTTAACTATTCAATTTCACACAAAAATGTAGCATTCAAAATTCTTCGCAAAGCTTACCGAAAAATACTGCTCTGCTTCAAGCTGATCCTGAAGCTCACGCATTTGACCTTCATTTCCTCTGTATTGTCTTTGAAGGAAAAAAAATGGAAATTGTGTAAGAAGCCAGCTAATAACCAGTAACAAAGGCTAGTTCTAACCAGAATAGTAGCCTAAAATAATTTTATACTTGTGTACACATTATTTCATAGATGAAGAGTTTGCTTCATCCCAGTCTTGTGATTTAATTACATTCGTTCTTCTAAGTGAATAATGATGGCTTTAGCTATGCAAGCTAGAAGAAAAGTAGTATGCTAAACAGAAATATTGAGTGTTGAGTTTTACTTTCAGCTGAAGAAAGCTACGATAGAAGCATGATTAACAAGAAGCATCTTCAGTCCAGATTAGGTGTATGGAAAACAGGATATTAGGTAGATAAAGAGGAAAAAGTTGTTGACCTCTGTGTAATAAGATAAGTTCCATACTTATTTAATTAATAAGTACCATCACATTTGTTCCTTAAAGAAGTAAAATCTCAAAAAAGAGCATCTATGTCCTGATGTAAAACAACAAGCCAAGATTAACTCTGTATCACAGCTCATAACAAAAATATTCCAACACTGAAGGCTACATATAGAAATGATAACATGCAGCTAAAAATACTCTTTGTTTAGGAAAAAATGCGTATGCATCACAGAACATTTTTCATTAATAGGAATGAGTAAAACAGTACATGTATAATTAAACAATTTTTTCCACTTTACCTCAGATTTTCACTTACTTAGCAAGTTGAGCCAACTCAACTTCCAGTAATCTTTTTGCTTCCAATAACGTATTGATTTCTTGTTTCAGTTGCTTCTCAGAACCCTTCAAGTTATCTGCTTCAAAAGCTTGTGCCTTTAATTCATTCTGTGCCATTATTCGCTTATTTGTCTCTTGCTCTAGCTGAAGTGACAGATTCTTTACCTAAACAAGAAATTATTTCAGTTTAGAAATGTTTCTGAACAACCAGTTGCATACGGCTGAAAGCTTACTTTATGGATTACTCATCAAACTGTACTGCCTAAATGCTACACATGATACAATATATGAAAATATCCCTAAATTTCCAAGTATTTCAGTCCAAACATCTTATTTCTCATTGCAGCTATCCCTTCTTATTTTCTTATTTATACAGAAAATTCTTAGCAACGAACATTCGACTTACTTCATCCTCCAGTCTTTCCTTTTGCTGAAGAAGATGTTCCAGTTTCTGCTGAGACTGCTTCAGGTCAAAGTCTAGCATGGAACACTGTTTTTCAGCCTGAACTATTCGATTCTCTGCCTTTTCTCTTGCTGCTCTTTCTTCCTTTACTTTTTTTTCCATTTCTAAACAAGATTAAGGAAAGAAAAACAATGGAAATGAATATGTAGCATCTGCAAGAACCTTTTTATAAACACAGTCTTAAATACCCTAGTATTTTTCAGACCTATCTGTTCAGCTATTCAGGCTCTTCTGACATTAGATGAACTGGTTAGTGCATAAAAACTTCCTGGCTTTGTTGCAAGCAATATTTTTTTAAGAAATATTGATTTCAGTTTGCATTCAAAGCATCAGAATATTATCATGACAACTGAAAGTAAATAATGAAAGTGAAATCCAAAATGCAGGCTCTTGAAGTGATCACTATGAAATGTTATAAACAAAATTTAGTTTCCAAGAATGGATAGTACAGGGAAAGAAAGGATATGCTACCATTCAGATAAGCTTTATGAAAAGTTACAAACTACATGTGCAAATTCCAACAATCTTCACAAAGATTGTCAACTTATAGTCAACTGTGATAACATGAAACCTCTTTCATTCATGAACATATACGTACACAAAAAAACTCAAAGACTTTAGACAACCCTAACAGAACATCAGTATTTATAATAATGTTACACAGGAATGAATGCCCCAGGAGATCAGTCTTGATAATAAATTCTTTCAATTCCAGTTAACATTAGCCAACATTATAAGATTCAATGGAATTTTAGAAGCCAAAAAGGTTCTGAATTGCAAAAGCAGTAAGTTATTAAAAACATTAAAAAGCAATACATTTTCTTACCATGCAGGTATCAGATTAAATCAGATTAAATCAGATTAAAGATTAAAGAAAATCTTTTAAAATTTGTTGTTTTCATTGTGCTTAATAATTCTGAACTCTTTGTTTTCACATCAGGGATTAAATACTTGTGTAAGAGTACCACATTATCAGACTGTGCATTTTAAGGTACTGTAATTCAAATAGTATGAGTTATCCATCCAAAACTTGCAAACTAGACTTACCGCACATTGCAACTGATTTTGCCTCCTCTATTGACTGATGTTTGTCAGTTAATCGAGCTTTAGTCACTTTGTGTTCATTTACTTCCTGTTCTAAGCGATCCTGTAAAGACTTGAGTTTGTAGTTCAAATCTATCTCCAAATTATTCTTTTCCTAAATATAAGAGAAAAAAAAAAGGAGCTATAATAATTCTATAGTATCTGAGGGAATATTTTCTCCTTTTTCTTTTTTAGTGTTATCTTGTTATGAAGGAATTATCAGTGTTCCACGCTTATAAAGAAAGGCAACAGACAAAAACTGTACTCCGTGCCCTGGAGAAAACTTCATTAATTTTATTTATTACTGTGTAAATTCATAACATAATGAAAACTCTCTATTTGTGTGATTAGAGTCACCTAAATTGGAAACATTTCTCAATCCCACTGACAACAGTAGAGCAGAAAGGAATTTTTATTACCCTCACCTGCATGCAATTATGTTATTTCATTATTAGGAGCCCCAGCGCCTAACCAGTAACTCACAAAACAAGCACAGCAGATGGGCACTGAGAGGCAAGATTGCCTTTCCATCACTACTTCATGTATTTCCAAGCGAGAAAGATCGCTTCTTACAGCTTCCCACATAGGTAATTATCTCTCTGTTTTATTTGGATAGGCCACTCAGTACTGCAAGTCTTTATCTGACATCAAAACAGAGAACTAACTACACAGCCCAACTGAAAACATGATGCAGGATTTACTGTTATTCTTCTTTACTAGTTTCTCTACCTTGGGGCAAAGACCAGAGGTGCTAGGGGAACGTGTTGCTGCCGTTCTCTGGGAAGGAAGAAAAAACTCAAATGGCTCAGCTCTAAGTTGACTAAAAAGGCCCAGCCAAATTAAAATCCAGTAAAAATCAGAAATTTAAATCACAGGTTTTACAAAATTTCAATTTGTAGATTTTTAGAAGGCAAGTTTCTGCAGCAGTGGTTAGGCAAACAGAACAAAAATTAGTTGCTATTGGCAGAAGCTCTGGATCCTTGACTGATTCATGACAAACATGAATTATACTCCTAAAGCTACAAGTGAGACCCATTTAAGGACTTGCGACACTTACCACTCTGATGAGACTATAAATTAGTTAGTACTAATTAGTCTGTCTTTTTAACAGACTTATTTACAGCAAGGCCATAATAGTAACATTGCTAATTTGAAAATATGATCAAAGCTGTCAAAGAACATTAGCCTCAACATCATTTTACCATACCTTTTCTGAATGATTAAGCCTATCTTGTGCTTGTTTTCTTTCTGCTTCCACTCTTTCAAGATTATTTTTAAGGTTTTTTAATTCTTCTTGTAAAGTTGTAATCCGAACTGTCAAAAAATAAGTATTGTTCAGTATTAATTACTAAACTTAAACTGATAATCTTTCCAACCTTCACTGATTTTTGGGACCATTAAACACTTCCAACTTCTTCATATACACAAACGCTACACACTGTAAAGGAAACTGACTTCATTAGTTACACTGTTAAAAGCAATTCCAAGGAAAAAAAAATCACATGCAAAACTTGGTATTTGCCTTCCATCACTCCCAATAGATATTTTGCAAAATTTCTTTCCATTAATGTTAATTCTGCTTGTGCCAAGCAACAAACACCTTTTATGATGTTACCTCCAGTAATGCGTAAATAAGGCATATTAACAAAGACAACCTCACATGGTTGTCTGTATGTACATGCAGTACATATTCACTTAACTGACTAGAGCAATCTTCCAAGAATAGATTAAATACTTCTTCTTCTTAGCATCTACCACAAGACCATATGTGGCATCAGAAGTTTATACACTGAATACCAATTAATAGTATGCATTTCTAGACTGCAGATTTTACACTAGCTCCTTTAAAACACATACATGACAAAATATTTTTAATTACTTTGTATTACAGTTAATACCTTAGATACAGTAAATACAGTAGGCAACCTCTCAGTTCAATTCCATCTGGCTACAGTGCAGAACATTTCACTTAATCTTTAAGTACAGGAAGAAAAGCATGAGATGGAAGAAAAGAACGTCTTCCTGAATGTTATCTTTCTGCATTCATTTGAAATGTGCCTTTAAAACAGCCATATCAGTCTTTGAAATACACAAAGTTATTCACATATATTACCAGCAAATATCTTATTGCATATACCTTATCCCTACACCTTTCAGAATAAAGGTCCCTTCCCTGCAAACACTCAAGTTAGATGAAGTCAAAGAACACATTTATAAGTGCACAGAAGTCTTCAGCCATTTCTACTTTCTGCTTGCAATTAATAACAGGCTGCACAGACTACACTCCATAATTTGAGAGGAAATGCACACTAATTAAACTGAAGCGGCTTTTTAATACTTGAAGCACAGTAACTAGGCAGCATGATTCTTGGTATTTCTTAACTTGTACCAGAGAAAGAAAAGGTTGACCTTAAAAAACTAAAAAAGCCCTCAACACCTCTCTCCAGTCTACACAAGTAAGCAGAAGATTGTGCCTCATGGGAAATGATTCTCAATGCTGCCAGCAGATGAATTAAAATGGCAAGTCAGGAAGCAGGCTCTGCTAGCACAGTCACAATCATGACACAATATTATCTGAATAGTCTAGTACTAAGAATCACAAGTATAAATGGTAAAATGTTCCAAGCATTCAGATGTGTATTCCTAACTATTCCTAATTTTTCATCTTACTTATGAAGTAATGTAGAAATGTAAGAAGAAAAACATAAATTTAACAACAAATTAAAAAGTGTGCCAACTTAGCTGTTGTGCCAAGATGGTAAAATGCAGTGTTGGGTCTTCTCCAGCACTACCACCTTTTCTTATTTTTTTACTGGTAATGACTTTTTGCCCCATAATCAGCGACTTCCCTCAGAATGTTCTTTTTGATATTCTCCCTCCTGATATTCTCCCTCCCAAGCACCACTCAGACACAATCAAATCTTCCTGAATTACTCTTTTAAATCACACTGTTTACATATTGGCTTTCCCCTTCTTCATGAAATTGTACTTCATAACCAGGCTTACAACTTCTATTTATAGACAAGATTTACCCTGTAGTTCTCCAATCATTTCAGATCCATGACTTCTGTCCCTTCGTTCTGATTCCAAAGCTGCTTGCAGTTGATAATAATCTTTCTCCACCTGCAGTTTTGCGCTTTCTAGAACTCTGCACCTTTCCTGCAGTTCTCTATTCAATGATTCTACTTGACTTAATGACTTGCTCATTTCTGTGTTTCCCTTTCTCAGTCTTACTGCTGTTTCCGATTCTGTCCGTAACAAATCATTGGCTTCTTCTAGCTGTGAGAGGAAAAATAAAAGAAGACTCTCAAACATGGAAATTTATTTTTTGTGAAAAATTTTGTTTTATATGAATGCATAATACTGCTCTTCAGATTTAAGAAATGATGAAGACATCAAACAAATGACATACTTGTTTTTGTAACTGTGTTATCTTCTCATTTGTAATTTGTGAATGCTGGCTGATTTTTTTCAAGTCTTCCATTTGATCTTTTAGCGTAGACACTAAAGAGAAATTACACCATTAATAAAGCAGATTAATAAAATTCTTCAGTTTTTATACAAAGACATTTGAACATACAAGTCCACTGACATTTAACTCTTTTGTTAGCCTTTTTCTTATCACAGAATAATAGAATGGCCTGGATTGAAAAGAACCACAATGATCATGTAGTTTCAACCCCCCTGCTATGTGCAGGGTGGCCAACCAGCAGACCAGGCTGCCCAGAGCCACATCCAGCCTGGCCTTGAATGCCTCCAGGGATGGGGCATCCACAACCTCCTTGGGCAACCTGTTCCAGTGCCTCACCATCCTCTGTGTGAAAAACTTCCTCCTAATATCTAACCTAAACCTCCCGTCTCTTTAAAACCATTTCCCCCTTGTCCTATCACTATCCACCCTTGTAAACAGCTGTACATTTTTAGATCAAATTCCATGCCTGCAGCACATGCTGTAGAGAACAGAATTTGAAAATAAGAGAAAAATAACTTCCTGTTAAGACTCAAGAAAAAGCACTCAAAATTTGTGTTCCTTACTTTAAAGGATTCCTTTCAAAGTTCTGCAGCACTTAAGATGTTAACATTGTAAATTATTAAACACACCATCTACCTCATCTGTTTCAATGTTTGGACAATGTGACATACCTTCATTTTCCACATTCCGTCTCTTTTCACTCTCTTGTTCTATTTTTCTTTGGTAGTCGTTTATCTTATGCTGCAGTGCCATCTTTTCCTTCTCAATCTGAGACACTGTTAATTCTAGGTTCTTTCTTTGATTTCCCTAAAATTAAATCCATTGGAGTTTACATTTTAATAAATGATACCTAAAGCAGTATCTCTGCAAATAATTAGTCAAGGAAACTGATGCATTCATTTTGGGCTCCTTGAAAACGTTTTTAGAAAAGGTACCTATTTATAACTCCTAAATCACAAATTTACCAAATTACTAGAAAATTTTTTGTTAGCATGCTTACATGTAAGTAACCTTTAAACCAAATATTAAGATACAACATAAGGACTCAAGAGAAAATCTGCTGTATATTATTTTTTAGAATAATTGCTATTGATAAATGTCAAAAAACTGCAATGATCAAGTCTAAGTAAAACATTTAGCAGAGGAAACAATTCAAATCAGTGCATCAAGAAAAAAAAAGGTTTTGAAAGTGTGAACAAATAAATATATATCTTCCAATGGTATGTAATGAAATGAGATAATTTGGCCTCAAATTTAAACTGAGAAAAAACTTGAATTGTTGTAGTACTATCCATATTCTTCATCCAGCTAAGAATGCCTCAGTGAGAAAATACATTACCTCTTCATCCAGTTCTTTCATTATCTTGTCTAGCGTTATGTTTGAAGACCTAAAAATGAAATGATTAATGAGGATATATTATGTTTTTTTTCAGTTAAAAAATTTCCAATCATCACTAAAGTGCTGCATTTCAATTAATTCTATTTTGTTGTATATTTAAAAAGCAAAGAAAACATTTAATCACTGCAAATGGTTCATAAAATATCTTAAGTATTTATCAATTTTGCTGCAGATTATATACATAAAACTTTAGGTGTCATATTTTGTCCCTAGATCTGAAATGTAAAACAGTAAATACACAGAGTATCATTAAAATTGGAATATTCTCGTGAACTGCTAAGACTACCTCTAGTTTTCAGCTTCCCAGATAACTAAAATGTTTATTTCAACAGTAATCACCTCACTATCACATATAAAACATTTTAGTAGTATTATTCAAAAGTCTCAGTTGAAATAACTTATTTGAACACAGTCAGAGAACAAAGTTAAGCACACTATAAAATTTTCAGTTAGCAGGCAAAAATCTGAACAAATACATTTTGGCAACTACTTATCCCTCTCTAGAGAGATAACAAGGAGGACTCAGACAAAGTCATCTGCCAGGTGCAGTAACAGTAAGGAGCTATCACAGCAACATATCCGATCAACTAAATCTATAGCAAAACAACAGGGTTTTCTCAGAAAACACACTGTTGTGCTCTGAAAATTTCAGTAGTGCTGCAGTTACTGAATACATTTCAAGCAATATGTGTCCTATTTGCATAAAGCAATCAGAACAAGTGAACACTGAAGTGGTGTTTAAGTAAGAGACAAAGTCACACAGCATAGATTCACACAGGACCATTTTGGTTATCAGTTTCTATTTAAGTAGCTCGTACAGCTACAGAGTTTGGTCCTAAATCTCAAGCATTAATTCTTCCTATATCCTATGCATAGCGTAGCTTTCTGGCTTCACTCAGGCCTTCAGGAAAGGGCTTTAAAAGGAAAAGCTAACTGAAAGAAAGCAGGTGGAATGACTCTGAGTAAAAATTTCTAGTTATTACAAAAGAATATTCCCACTTGTTTGATCTTAAGTGTGCAAATTTACACAGAGCTACTTCAACATAGCAGAAACAAGACCTTTGGAAAGAAAATCCTTGGTCTTTCCTATTGGTCCCAGGAATTAAAATAAATGGGATTCTATAAAAATTACCATGTATTTAGATAGCAGAGACAATGTTAATAGTCTGATATATGGTATATCGAGTATTTTACTCTTCTCAAAAAATGTTCTTCATTCCATTAAAGCATCTTAATTCAGAAGAACTAGATAAACTCAAATAGACGAGTGTTCAGAAAATGTTTTAAATGAATGCCAATGAAAACAAAGGATTTCCTTCACACTATATTCAAGAAAACCGTTCAAATGTTGCTTTGGAATGATTTAAACCTGCACCTGGAACTCCCTTGTAGGAATACAGCACAATAATGTTATTCTGGTAATCCCTAAAGTAGTAATACAGAATTGAAGTGTTACATACATTAAAATTACATAAAGAAATCAAATTCAAAGTCTCACCTGCACTTTTGTTCCATTTCATCTTTCAGCTGCATTTCATTATGTAGTTGCTCTTCCAAATCATAGATCATCTTCTGCATATTTTCCATCTTTAAATATATATATTTGTACATGAAAGAACACGCATTAAATTCAAAAACTTAAAAAAGGAATTTCAGTATATTCAGAGCTACTTAACGCTATCACAGCTTACTCACTTTGAATTAAACACTGTTTTTAAGCTGATTTACTCTCTCCTTTCCTCCAAAAAATCAAAGCTAATCACAAGAAAGAATATAAAATTATGCACATGAGTAAAATTTTAAGGCTGTGTATAGTTTCATGAAAATTCATGGGACAAAGTCAGGTTGTTTTCTGTGTTTTCAGAATCAGAAGTATTTTGTTAAACCTCAATTTCTTTTTCTAGTATAACCTACTAAATATATTTTGCAATGCATCTTCAGTTCTCACTTCAGGAAGCAGAACCAGGCCCATCAGTTATTAGCAGTGAGGGAAAATGCTCTTAAATATTAAGTCAAGAGATTTTTTTACAGATAGCCTTGTACTAAGGTTTGAAAATATTTAAAAACTTCATATGTTTATACAGAATGGTAATTTGCATTTAGTGTTTGCCAGCAAAACAAATTCTTGAATTCATTCTTTCCATGCAGTCTCAAAATATCTGCCTTCTACTGGATGTCTGTGCACACTAATCTCACTCCAACATCGGCAAGATCCTCAATTAACAAGATGGTATCAGCTTCGAGGAAGCTCATTAAGTCAAGTCTGTGCTGATTCACTCTGAACTTTTCCACTGATCTTGTAAGGATTTCAGCCTTATTTAGCTTTCTCACATTTCTCTCAGCCTTTCTGAACAGCACAGAGAAAAACTACAGGCCTACTCTAGACTCTCTTCAAAGCAACACATGAAAGCAGTTCTGACACTTGGCTGTCTTATTTCTTCTTTTAACTTCACAAACTCTGATAACTGCCCAACTCCTTTCTGTACAATCTTCCCAGAAAAAGGAGCAACACAACAGCTCCTCTGAGATGTCCACCTATTCCACTTTTTCCCCCTCAAAACACACATAAAAAACTAGAACTGCACACTAAGACCATAAAGAGAAGTTCTCCCTTCTTGTTTCATAACAATAGTAAATGTCCTCAAACAGTCCTCTGTCCAGTCCTAAATTGAAGACACAGCATGATTTAACCATATTAAACAAGAAAGCTACCATTGAGATAATTTCTGTCTACTTGCAGGGAAGTGTTCCTCTTGTTCCTGTTTTCAATCTTTACTCCTTTCTATTTCAGTAGGAAAAAAGCAAGGAGCCCACTTTGGTGTTCCCAAGAACCAGACACCCTTTCTCACTTCTTCATTTTTCTTCCATCCGTGCTCTGAAGTTTAAGTTTTCAGAGGAACACAGATATGGCAACAAGGGACTAACCAAAAACCACATATTTTATATATTCACTACTCCACATTCTATGTATTTACCTCTACCTACCAGAAAGCCTTGAGAGAACAAGGAAACATTGGACGTTGTGTTGAGGGACATGGTTTAGTGAGAACTATTGGTCATAGGTGGATGATTGGACTGGATGATCTTGAAGGTCTTTTCCAACCTTGGTGCTTCTGTGATTCTGTGAAACGCTGGAAGTAATAGACTTCTCAGCACCTACAGAGTAGCTTTGGTGAACTAACTACTGGTGTTGTATATGACATAGAACCATTTGGAAGAGAAAATGGTTGTAGGCAAAAACCATCGTCAGCTCAGAGGAAGAAGGAAGGAGAACTAGTGCACAACACATTTATTCCACTGGTATTAACCACTGAGAAACAAAGCCAGACTATTTCAAGGCAAGCTCTCACTCAAGTCAAAAGGATCCAAAGAAACAAAAATAAAGGATCAAGAAATTTTAAGATAATTGTCCATCTACTTCTTGGTAACTCATTTTACCACGTAGAGGAATTACATGCAATGGAGGAAGAACAGTTCTAAAGACTTCTGGCAACTGAAGCATTTCTGTACTGACTCCCTGTAGTTTGGACCTCTATTGCTTCTACTTACTTCTTTCTATCTCTGGATACTTTTATAGGAGCCTATCTAATCTTACTGAGCAGTCACATTACATTAGTACAAGACAACAGGCTTCAACAGCACTTTTGCACAGTCTGATATCAATAATCTAAATAATACCTTCAGAAAATCCTAGTTTATTGTAACTTAATATAAAAGCATTCCCTTGTGTCTTACTCCCTCTTTACAGCAGAGATGCCAAGAAAAATCCCTCTGAAGTTGCCATATTTTATTTATTTTTTAAACCACCAAAGCACTGTGCATCTGCTTTTGCCCCCTGAGCAATGAAGAAAATTGAAGATCCAGCGCAAAAATATTTGTTCATGTCCTTAATACCTGAACCACTGACAGAAGCTTAGGATAGCACTAAATCAAAGTAAATAATCAGATCTTAAAGTGGTTTGAAAATCAGCTAAAAAGATATTCAACTCCATTTTTCTCTGACTTCATAGTCTAATTTTGTGAAATTTTATATTCCTGATCTCTGGCATTCAGTCCCTCAGAGAAGATGCTCAGTACTATACCATAAATACAGATAGTTTACATTGTGTTATATTTCCAGAATTAATTATTGTGCTAACCATGTGTTAACATTACCGTTTTCATTGCAGCATGTAATGAAAGGAAAAACAGCTGAGAGAAAACTGTAGGATAAAAATACCCCGTAGTAAAGATTTAACATTCATTCAAACCTCTCTATCATCCATATCCTTCCAGAGCTTCCCCTCCCAGAACTGTTAAAATCACAAGACATTCCAATAGCCCTGGCAGACAGTGCTCTAGGAATCTTTAGCTAAATGGAGGTGTCACACGACAGAGTTTGCAAAGTCCATTTAACAACTACTTTTGAAGTCAACCCAAGCTCAAAGTACATCTTTAAGTATCTGCAAATACGTGAAACTCTAGCTCTGTTTTTAATTTTGCCATACTAACAGTCACACGCTGATGAGAAAAACAAAATTTATGGAAGATAAAAGCATACATTAAAAAATCAAAACAGTTTAGTGCTTAATAAATTCATTTAGTCCAATAATATGAACTATTAGTTCCCTTGCCTTTTTAGGAGGTAATTGTTAGGAGGTAATACCATATATCACTAAAACATGTATATAACAAGTTTAAGAGAAAAGGGAACATGCATGAACATCACCTCAAAGGAAACGTGCTTCTCTTTGACTCTAAATGGAAATCATAATAGAACAAAGCACTAACAAAGTAAATCAATCAAAGCCAATAAGAGTTATTTAGAGTCAATTATCATTTTTGTCAAAAAAAAAAAAAAAAAACACCTTGAAAAATATGAAATGGAATAGCCTACTTTATACCAAAACTTATACAGAATCCATGCCTGCCTTGCTCCTAAAACATCAGCTTATCTTCCTGGTAACCTGACTGCCAAGATGCTTAGGAAACAGTAACCAAAAGAGCTCCTGAACTTTTCTGCTCTTTTCTTCAGATAGGTCAGCTGCTATATAAACAAATGCAGCTTCTTGGTGCCCTGAATCTCAAAAGCTTGTGGGGTACCCTTGAGAAGGAGCAGAACACCCAAGCTTGGAAATTTTATTTGAAAAAGAGAAGAACTCCTGCACTGCTACCTCATCTGCCACATCCCACTTATCCCACAGGAAGCTCCAGTGGGCTGCTGGAAAGCTCAAACTTCCTATCACAAGCATGTCTAGATGATACCCATAAAGCTAGTGTACAGCTGGAATAGATACTGCACTCTAAAAATACTGCACAAACACTTCAATATTTCAAAAGACAAACTCAGCAAATCTCACTTCACAAGAAGAGTATGCAGCTTCAACCATTTTATTCCCACTCATAAAAGTTAATGTTTTAGGAAGAACTGAAATTCAGTTTTCCCAACAAATTTAACAAGCACAGTTCAATGCCATGTATTGCTCTCCTCTATCTCAAAGCACTAAAACAGAGACATTTAGAAATCAGTTTATAAGCATACATGCAACAGACTCTCTGGGATACAACGAAAGTTAAAATCAGTGAGACATACCACACTTTTATCCATACTGGAGCCTGTTCTGTTATCATTGGAATTTTCTGCAGAGACAGATAAATACCTGCAACAACATTTTAAAAGTTATTTTAAGAATTGTTTAAAAGGAAAACGGAAAAATGGAATATAATCACACTAAAAATAGAACCCTCCAATTTTTTTTTGTCCCAAAATCTGGATAACCAAATAGTAACATAATCAGATTATTTATCATACTTCAAGATTTAAGCACATTTAATTGAGCAAAAAATAAACAACAAAAAAAAACCCCACACAATTAATTGTAAAAATTGGCTTCAAGTAGAAAGTTGCAGCAGAAGATCTCTTGAAAAGAGGATTTCTGCCAAGTATTAATACAACCACTTTTTAAAAAAAAAAAAAACTATTAAAAAAATCTTTGCTTTCCATGGTTACATACTCTCTCTGGCTTGCATCCCATAAATATTTATTCCAGTACTTATGAAACAAGTAGTAATGAAGCAAACTGCAGAGATCGTGTGTGCATAACTTCCAACAGAGTCATTAGAAGTTCCACACACAAAGTTGTTCTGGAGTGCTATTTCACAGAACTCTTTCCTAAAGATACCACAAATGTTATTTGCTGTGATTCTAAACAGTCAGATAAATAAATACAAGTGACTGTCTGATAATTACTTCTGCATTTGGTGTGATATTCTTGGACTGATAAGTGCTGTAGAGACACATGAAGAATTCCTTAACTATATCAGATTGTGTGAGGAATAAATCTCCAGCACATGAACTGAGGAAGATGGAAACATCATCCTTTTTTTTTGTTCCACATGAATTAAAACCTCTTCAAACTATCAAGAAGGGTAACATCAAAGACATCTGCAAACCAGTCAAATTAAACATCAGGACTACTTACAGATAACCAAACGACAAAGAGAAAACATGATAGTTCCCTTTAAAAAGGGATCGAGTGTCTCAAGTTCAAGAAACTATCATAATTTGCACACCAGGGCTACTGAACAGCAAAAATATCATACTGAAGCACCAGAGAAGAGTAGGAATAACCTCAATCCAGAAAAGAACATGAAAGCTACAAATTGCTATAAACTGTTCTCAACTAGTATTCCAAAACCTGTGATATAGCTGAAGTTCAATAATAAAGAATCATGTTTTCTAGTTTGGAATCAATGAGATTACAGCTGTAGAAAATATTTTTTACTAAATACTTTATGACTTCCTTCAGTGACATAAGTCAGATCATCTACTTATATCCCCATTTCTTTTAACTCTAAGCATATGTCAAATATAACAAAACCAAAGAAAGTGGAAGATGCATGCAGTAAATACACAGTTTAATGTTTGAACTATTTTCAATACAAAAAGGGACTTAAAATTAGGATTATGGGTTTAGCAAGTACAAATGATCATTTCAGACTTTTCAAAAATGTCACAACAGAGTATTACAGGATTCTTATCAATTCCAGAAACTATTATATTCCAGTAAGTATACAACCTAACAATAGCACTTAGTGGAAGAGTTCTATCATGACAGTAAAACAATCTTTTAGTTCTCTGAATTCCTGGTACTGTCCCCACCCCAACAAGGAAAAGGGAAGAGAAGAACTTCAGTTATCAACAGCGATCAGTATGCTATATAACCTTCTTGATAATATATTCCAAAGTCTTCCCACAAGTCAAAAATTAAGACACCTTTTTTTTCATTATAGACTGAAGTCAAAACAATAGGGAAAATTATTTGACTGTTGAACTCACGCAAACTGTCTGCAAAGCTTGTTTTTACTACATAGAAAAATCCAACTTGCTGCTGAGATGGAAAGAATTTCACCACAAGCTTGGAAAAGTGGTTCCTCTTCTATCCAAGGCTGAATAACAGATTTATTTTTCTTTAAAGCTTTCCTATCCTCAAATGCTATTAAAACTAACAGTTGCATTTCTCTGGCATGTTCTACTAGAAGACTTAGTCCATTTTAATTGTGACTAACACCCACGACAATAAAAAGCAGCACTCAAAGTAAGAAAAAATTAAAAGATTTTTTGAATGTAGATATAGCTATCTATAGAGCCTACAATAATAATGAATGTTAAAGTACAAATCAATGTAATTTCAACTGATGTCATTTAAAGTTTTGTAAGGAGCAGCAATAACTGAAGCATAACTTTCTCACACTGCAGTTGAATACTTTGAATAACAAAAACTATCACAGATAACAGGGAAAAGAAAAATATTTTCTTTCTAGTGACCCACAGAGAAGTTAAGACGTTTTAATTTATCACAATACTACATAACTGATGTGAAGTGTGGAATCCTTGTATAAAACTTAGGAACTTTCCATCAACAAAAGTGATGTTCATATCCTGAATTCATGACAACACGAATATTTCAGTGCCCTCTAGGCAGCTTTGTAGCAGCAACAGATGATGATTATTCTTGCTCGGTTTCTGCTGCACCACTATGCAACATTCTTAACAGAGAGTAAGCCATTCACAAAATCAGTGCAATATTTTAAGATACTGATGACTAGAAATATTAGCTATCAAAGTGTCAAAGTGTAATTTGTTAGGATCCTGACTCATTAGTAAGAAATCTGTTTGGCTTGTATTTATATACTCCTAAGAGTTAGATGGGAGTTTTGACTAGAGAATACATCACTAGATTGCTTGTTTGTACATACCGACGGTTGCTGTAATACGTAAATCCAACAAAAGGAAGCTGGTTCCCCACAAATGCTTTTGGAATGGGAAATGTTTCTTCCTCTCCTTTGTCTTCATCAATATCATCAAAATTACTAGTGTCTATGTCACTACTTAAGTCGGGCACAACTGGTGCTACAGCTAGGAAAAAAGAGGAATAATTATACCATAATAATCATTTTATCATTCAAGTAACAGTTAAGAGTTTGGGAGGAATATCTCTTTGGTGTCTAAGAAACCTCATTCCTTGCTACAAAGTAAGGAAGACTAAATTCCATTGAAAAGAAATATGGCAGTTGTTTTGCTAACGTGATACATTAGTAAGCCAGATCACAGTGTCTGAGAAAAGCATTATACTTACTGTCTCTGAGAGTCTCCCAAGCCCACTGATCATCTTTGAAGAAAAGATGCCGTTTAATTTCTTCTACACCATTTCGTCCCAGTCTCACTTCCCTGTAAAGAGATGTTTTTTTTCAGTATGGCACATACAACAACAGAAATCATTCCAAAAGAAAGAAGATTCACTCTACAGCATATCTCGCAACAAAGTGAAAATAATTACCTCTCAAACTAAGAAACAAACATATCCCAAAGCTTTCAGATATGAAAAAAACTACGGCACCACCACAGGTAACTTCAAAACAAAAATCTGGTTTAAATCTTGTCTACAAGAACTCCTGCTGCTACTGTTTCCATCATCACAGACTGGCTAGGCAGCTGTCAAGGAGTTTGTGCCCTTGCTTGAATCCCACGTAGCTCAGCAAATGCAACAGTCCCCTTCTTTTGTAGCACCAGGTCTCAAGCAAAGGTTATGCTTGTATCACTAAGTAGTGTGGGTAGAACTGGTGCGCATCCCCAAAATTAAAAAGCCTAACATCCACATTTCACCCAGGGGGCTTCCTTTGGGTTGTCTCTACCCTGATCCTGTGGATTGAATGCCCACTAGCAGCTGGGATTGTATTAGGGATGCTCACAAAATGCACCTTTTGCTTCAGCTTCATCCCAAAGGACCCCATACTTCTTATGACACTCCACAACACAGCAGCTATTACTAAGAAATAACACTTCATAGTCAACCAAGTTTAGAAGGTAGAAATATTCACAGTAGCAGCATTTCCCTTCCACCACTATACATGGGAGGTGCCACAAAGGACGGCAGCAAGCACTGGGGATTCCTCTCCCTGGGACTGCACAAGGTAAAACTGATGATACCTGCCTGTCCAGTATGAAACATTGGTTAGTAACTGCTACTTCAGGTTAGGCAGAACATTATTTCAAGGTAGATAAAATGACTTAAAAGATTTAAGTGACTGAAGTTCTAAAAGTTTATTGACTAAATTTAAGACATCCTTCCTGTACTTTAAGCAAGAGGCCAACACTTTCTTATGTTGTTGAGACACAAATAAAATCCAACTTCCAGAAAGGAGAACATTCAATTAAAAGCACTGCATTCAGATTGCATACATCAAACTATAGCAGCATCTAAATTGGATCAGCGTTACACTGCATTCATACCAAGACAATGAAAATTCCATTTCTGCTGAGCAGTTTAGAAACCCACACCAACACACTATACAGAGATACACATGCATACATTCTTTCAACATGACAGTTTTCCTTAACAAAAGCTTACTTTCATTTTGATTAAAGTTTAAATCTCACCTATCAGTTAAAAAGGCACAAATAAGGTTTTTTGCCTCTTTAGAGATCTCGTTGTCATCAGGGAAGGTAAGGGAGTTCTTGTGGTTCATAATCTTACTGTATGTTCCAACCAAAGAATCTGCATAAAAAGGTGTGTCACCTGAAAAAGCAACAAGATAAAAATTAAAACACAGATAAATATTGTGGACTTGATGTATAGCATTTGAATTATATACTCAATAAATGTAAGCAACTAACTGAACAACAGGCAAAGACAAATGTTTGAGAATTGTGCCGGAATATTTCCAAAACATGCTTTATAAACAATGAAGTCACAATCACAACTTATGGCAGGAAAGTAATACATTAGTTAAAGCAACTGTGGTATTTTAACTTAGAGTACTGTTAAGTACTACAGTTCATTTTTATTATCCTACTACTCACCTACAAGCATCTCATACAAAAAAACTCCAACTGACCACCAGTCACATTCTCGTCCATAGTAACCGTCACCACCCTGGGACTTCAATACTTCAGGAGAGATATAGTCTGGTGTTCCTACAGCTGTATCACATCGTACCATACCTTCCTACAGACAGAAAGAAAATACCCAGGCCCAAATGTAAGAGCCAAAATTGCAAGCCATTTTCAAGAGTATACAACGCTGATAAATCAACATCAACTTTCATTGACAAATGCTCTTCTTGGAATGGGTATTTAAACATTTTTAATCACTAAATTACTAAATCCAGAACAAAGCACCAGATTACTTGCTCAAGCAAGTATGAATGTCTTACATACTGACAGGATTTAGGGTAAACAAGGAAAGCTCCTCTGTTAGTGTAAAAGAGTCAAACATTCAGGATTTTGCTGTCAAGACAAATTAACTTTTTCACTTCCAATGCAATATCCTTAATGCCAGGAAGACTGCAACGTAGATAAGGCCCTGAAACTTGAAGCAGAGACTTCAAATTGAGTAACGGATCAGAAGAATGTTTTACAATCCTCACCCTCTTGAGAAGGGACTGGCAGAAGAACATGGTAATCACACCGGAGATGGCAACTAGAACACTGAAGCAGAAATCACACCACCCTTTCCACTATTCAGACACTTTCAGAATAAGTCTATACTATTTCTAGAAATGGATCAGTAGAAAAACTTGTACAGAAATATATAAATAAGAAATATAACAAAGCAAATGCTGCTTGCACAGTAAATCCAGACAGAATGCACCTGTATCAAGCTCCTGTCTACATGGAGCAGTTTCTCTTCCACAGAGCTACTTACTTGTGCTCTTCAACACACAGGTAGCTTTGTTTAGTACAGAACAGAACACAAAGCATGATTGACACAAGTTTACTTCTTACGCATTAATATACAAAGTCCTATGTTTTTACTTCTTTTTGGCAATTAAAGCTTAAGCACTTGGATATTTTTCTATATTTCAAAAGTTCCCATTGTTAAGAGCAAAATCAGTCCCCAAAAATTTGTATTAAAACAAAATTAAGACAAATTATGTGCCTGCTACTCCTCTGAAGCGGACTGGTTGTAACTAAAGCCAGCTTTTTCAATTTGTGCATGTGGTTTTACTGGTGCCTTTTACTTATAGCAAAGCAGCTAGATGAATTATGTATTTAAAGCTCCTAGAATAAGCTGAAAATATGATGTGTATATTATACAGACTCTATTTGTAAAGTATCATCTCTTTCAGATCACTTTCCTAATACACAGGTGCAGGTTGACAGACTAATCAACTCTGCATAGGGAAAAACAATGTTCCACAGTACTTGAAATACTTTGTATTTTGAAAAATAAATAATTCCATTATATTCTTCAATCTGTTTCCTTCATATTATCCTTTTTGCAAGGCCAGAATATGCTAGTAAGTATAATCAGGATTCAACAACTTAGACATCAGCTTTGATTCTTTCATCACTGACAAGCTATCTTGAAATAATCTCATTCTTTCACACTAACTTTGATAACAAAAACTTGAAGAAACAGTTCAGCGGGATCAAGAGACAATGGTCTGTCTGAAACAGTGTAGAAGTGGAGGCAGTCCCTATTTCCAGAACCATTTTCACATCCTATATTGTAATTTAATAGGAAGCACAAAGAATAGTAACAGGAATAGAGGGGAATCTTGGACATCTCTCATCTAAAAAGTTTTCAGTTTATTTTGTTTTCCCTTTCAGGTACACTTTCCTTTAACAAACAGAAAAGCAAAGTTAAAAACTTAAGCCTACCTTGTTCATTTTCATACAAGTACCAAAATCTGCTAGTTTTAAATGACCAGCTTTATCTAGCAGCATATTATCAGGCTTCACATCTCTGAAAAGAGAAAAATATTTGTGTTAATTGGTCTATTTAACTGATGAAAACAGTAGAAGTCATACATTTTTAGATGTAACATAGCAAGGAAAAACAACATGAAAGCATACCATTTCCTCCATTTTTTCCTTCTTAATGTATCATGCCCTACATGCAGACTGTAGAACCAAACATTTTAAAAAGTAATAATGAATGTAGGAACACAGTCTCGAGTCAGTGAATTTAACAAATCTGGATGTCACTCTAGTTCCAAAATAAAATAAAAAAATAATTAAAAAAAAACAAAACACTCAGTAGTTTAAAGCCCATCTCCATTAAGATCAGTTCAGCTACATAACAAGAAAATCATCAAATTCCCAGATAATCATCTCAATCAGATGTTGAGAACACAGCTTTTTTTCCTCCTGCATCACTTCTATTTTCAGGGAACAAATGCATGTCACTTTTTGAAATATATAAATGTGAACAACTATTTCTCTATGGCTTAAAAGGAGCAGTATTGTATGCTCTTTTCCACATGGCAACTGTCTTGAAGAAAGGAAGTTTCCATAAGCTAACTGGTGAAGTTCAAAGTTAATGGTATTCAATATACTATAGCAGAATAATAGTAAGAAGCTGCAATCAAAAATATAAAATGAGTTTCAGAAGAAAATACATTTCTGGGACTTCAAAACAACAACTCAGGCCACTACTGTGAAATGAAGTTCTAGCATTACCTCACCTCAGGGCACGCAGTGAAAATGTATCAGTATACACAGAATAATTTTAGTTGAGAGAGCTTAGGCCAACTGCCTGATTAAAGCACAACAACAGAAATGAGATTAAACTTCAAAGTCACATTCAGGTTCCCCAGGGTTGAATCCAGTCGAGTTTTGTATTTTTTCAAGGATGGAGATTTCACAAACTCTCAAGAACTCTCTTCCATCATTTGGCCATAATCAAAATATCTCTTAACAAATAACTAAATATTCACAGACTGACTGAGGTTGGCAGGGCCCTCTGGCCCCACCCTGAAGAACATTACTTGAGAATAGAAACAGTGCTGACCTCATCAACCTTCTAAGGAATCCCTAGCAACCTGCTGGACTTCGTTCTACTAAGCATAACCCTTTGAGGCCATATTTTAGTACACCTATTCCAGCTGCTTTGCCATCCCAGCTACATCAAAAGCCTTTAGGTTAGAAGGCAAGTTTTACCCTTGGTAAATCCGTGCAGGCTGCTCCCAGTCACCTTTTTGTCCATATGCTTAGAAGCTGTTTCCTGATAATATACTCCATACTACACCCAGACACTGTCAATGGGTTGATCAACCTGCAGTCTTCTGATCCTCTTCTCCACTCCTCTCCAGGGAGAAACTCCAGACAGCAGTATCACGATACTGACCACCTCCTTCATATCTTTGGCGTATCCTACTGACCTTAGATTTGTATATGCCCAATTTGCCTAAGTGGGACACAGCTTGATCTTTCTCGGTCACAGAAATGCTTCAGTTCCCCAGGTTATGCCACTAAGGACCTAGGAGGCCTGAGAGCAGACCTTACAAGTGAAGGTTGAGGTAAAGATAGCAGCCTCAGCCCTTCCCACATCCTTTGTCACTACATCAGCCCTCATTTTCATCTGTTTCCATTCACTCCTCAAATTAAAAAAAAACCGTCAGCCCCAAAATATTCTAAAATTTCAGGAAAAGCCAGCAGCACTGCAAATCAACTGCAATTGTCTGTTTTCTAAAGAACGCAATACACACGCACAAATGGTTCTGCCACACAATTCATTCATTAAATGTAGTATAGTAACATCATTAATGATGCACCATCTAGATTCTGTTCAAGCAATGGATTAATAGATTCATGCTTTGCTTTTTTTTTTTTTTTTTTTTTTGGTACAAAAACTTAAGTGTGAAAGCTGATCTGACCAAATTATAGTTGAGAATATATACCATGCCCTTCTCAAACTGTTCCCATATTTTCTGTCAATAAATTTATTCTTCTGCTTCTAGTTAACATAGTTAAAAGATAAACAGGCAAAAGTTCAAACATCAACAGAGAACATCTCAATCTATCTGACGAGTGATCACACCTGAGGTTAAAAAGATAACATGAAACTAAACTAAGTCCTTTTTACTCTCTGTCTGTTTTCTGTATGGCCTCTTATAAGAAAATAGTTGGCTGGGAGATTTTTCTAATCTTGTTCAGTTTCTTTTTGAATGGGTCACTATTGCCAGGTGAGGCTCTAAACGCAGAGCTGAGAGTCAATAATTACTAATAGTGTATACTACCACTATCAAATTCTCCAACAACTTTCTCTCATCAAGTTAATCACAGAATTATAGAATCACAGAATGGCCTGCGTTGAAAAGGACCACAATGATCATCTAGTTTCAATCCCCCTGCTATGTGCAGGGTCGCCAATCACCAGACTGGGTTAAATGTTAATCTAACCACTAGACCAAGTTAAATGAGTTAATTTAGGGTCAACTTATTCATGACACTTTAGGTCTGCATCTCTTGGTAAATTGGGAAAATTTTATTATTCTCTGAAGAGGAACTGAAAAACTTTATCTTGACTGTATCACCTCTGATCTGTAATTTCTGATAGCAATTTTTTAAGTTGCCATATGGAATAATGTTGAAACAATAGTAAAGAAGGAACGTTAGCAATTTTAAAACCATCTTAAACAATTAATTCTGACAGAATTAAAATACTATGTAAACAGTTCTTTTTTTCACCTGTGTATAAAGCCCATTGAGTGAATTGCATCTAATGCAAGAACAACTTCAGCAGTATAAAATCTTGCCCATTTCTCAGGAACATCATAGTTACTCATTAAATTCACAAGGTCTCCACCAGGCATGTATTCCATGACCATGTAAAGGTAACGATCATCTTGGAATGCATAAAATAACTGTAAAAAGAAAATAAAAGAACAAGTCATTGAATGTTTCAGATATCTTTCATCTTTCGCTTGTTGGAAAACCCTGGAATTCCTGTGCCACGTGACTTACAGAGTAATGGAATTGCTAAAGCTTTTCACTATCCAGCAGCACAAACAAGTCTAGTTGCTGATGTAACATCAGCAGTACACATCTCCTTCTGAAAAGATCTTAATCTCAAGTCAATTTCTGCCAGATTTTCCATTCTTTTGTATTACTACATAAGCAGTAGAGTTCTGCTTCCAGATCACAATTTGGTGCAATAAATATTGAGATAATTTCAAAGAGAGTTCATTGCATAATAGAACGTAATGCTTCCTTGCTCCCTGGAATGACAACTGACAAATATGTAAACATGAAACTACTGTACTACAAGCATCTTCCTGATTCTATTTGTGTTATCACTAAATATTTATTATTCTATTGTCAGTGTATCCATTGCTTAGAAAGTGAACCCAAATTTAAAACAACTAAAAAAAGTAGTACTTCCCTTACAGTAGTCAATGCTCTGTTCAACACAATTGGTGAAAGTAGATTTAAGTATATGATTCCTTAAACCTTTCAGAACATCGTAAAATATTCTGTTGGACAATCACTCCTAGACAGACAGTGATGTAGTTACCTGTTTGACTGTGGTAAAACTTGTATGATTTTTAGGTTACTCGAGTGATTTTGTTTAATTCTAACTTAACAAAAGAATTTATGTGCTTAAGGGTAAGAACAGTTTAAATGAATGTGTTAACATGCACACACAAACGTATGATGATAGCTTCAGGCATCCTCCATATTAACTTCAAAGGGAGCAATGCCTCTCAAAACACTGTAATAACACTGAAATGAGGAAAACATAACCAGAGCAGGCAAATATATACAAAAAATGGAATATGCAGAAGCTATATCTTATGTATATTTCTGTTACATGGGCTGCTTCAAAGAATTACTATGGAGCAGGCTCACCAGTTTTAACTTTTATCAATGCAAATCTGGCAAAGAGTTCTAAGAATAAGCAGAATAGCTTATCTTGCAATTGTTAAAGCAAAGCAGTTCTGAAGCAAGTACAATAAATGCTATTTGCTGCATTCCTGTTGTAAGTCATGTATTTCTCCAAGAAACCAATGTAACAAAAAAGGGAATTTAAAAAGCTAAACTATAAAAATACAAGTCATGCAGCACTATACAAAATAAAGGAATCTCACTATACCTGAACAACCCAGGGGCTATTAGCAAAAGCCATAATATCCCTTTCTTCCCAGAAGAACGCAGAATCTGATCTTTTTATCATCTCAAATTTGCTCAGAAGTTTCATAGCATACACTCTTCTTGACGATTTATGCCTTACCTATGAGAAGAGTTACATACAAAATACATTAGTTTCCACATTAATACAGGAAGAATACAACTGAATATTTTTCTTGCTTCACTCTATTTAATAGATTTCATAGATTTCCATCATGCTTTTACAGAGAATTACATATTACACACAAAATAGTTAGATAGCACTTCCTGACATTGCTCTTTAAATACTTGCTAGAACTATCCAACAGCATCCATAGGCATAACAATCGTTTTATGACTTGCAGATGAATATCTCTAAAAGGACATGTGGAGGCACCTTTTAAAAACTAGTAAGACAATTAGCATTTGTAGAGATCATTAGCAAACATAAAATTACTGCTTATGTCTAGTTTCTACCATCAATTCTCAGTTTAATAAAGCAGCACAAAGAAGTCTAGTTGCTGATGTAACATCAGCAGCACACATCTCCTCTCATCTGTGACAAACTTCCACAAAACTCCAGTTGTAGGCCCTGAACTGGCAGAAATTCTTTGAGTCCTGAAGAACTGTTTGAGCATCTATATATACAGCAGCAAAGGTTGATTTTGCAGATTATGAATAATATATATTCCACATTTTAATAGAAGTATGACTTACAGTGCAAAACAGGTACAGACTGAGAGTACAGAAATTCTCAAAAACATTTCCATGGCATAAAAAGAAATAGATGTCCATATATAATATATAATGCATAATATGATGCATATATAACATATAAGTAATATATAACATATATATGTAATATGTGATTTCATCTTCTGAACTTGGTATTCAGAAATAGATGCATCAGCAAATGCCACAAGAGACATTCAAATGTACAGAGACAGAACTTACCAACTGAACTTCCCCAAATGCCCCTCTGCCAATAACCTTCACCACTTCATAATCTTCAGCTTTCATCCGCAGATCCCTCATTTTATTTACTGTGTCTTTATCTACGTGAAAGAAAATTCATATTTCATACACATCGAATTTATTAAACTCATTCACCTCTTATTTTAATTTTTCAACGTTATTCAAAGATAAACTCCTTAAAGAGGGGATTTGGATTTTAACCTACTTCCCTATTGGAAACTTCCCTGCAGAATGCATGACCTTACCCTCATTACTGTAGTAACCAAACCTGACATAAACATAATACAGGAATGATGGTACAATCAAGTTACTGGACATTCCTCACTTGGCATTTTTATTCTAAATATTTTTTTCTAAATAATTATATTACAAAAAAAAAAAAAGCAGCTATGCAAAAATCTCATATCCAGCATGATCTTGCTTGTAAGTAGATCTGTTTTAAAAGGCTATTTCTGGATAACTATGCAATACATCTGAGAAAATGTTAAGTATACATAAGAGACACTTAAAGAAACTATTTTTAAAAACCTTTCAGTATTCTGCACTTTCATTATTCCTTTTACTGTAAAAAGTAGATTTTAATTTAAAACACGCAGTGGGAATCATGGTAATTATTTATATAAACCTGTCATTCTATAAACTACGATAATTTACCAACTCCCAGTGGGCAGATATTCTAATTCCAAATTTGGTCAAAGATTAAAACAGTCTATTTTAATCCATGTGGGTCAACACTGGCATGAGATTACATGGAAAAGCTTCAAGTTTCAGTATTTCTAAAAAGAAGGAACAGATACTAAAATACTTCTAATAAAACAAGTTATACAACAGTATTTTACTTTCAAAAATAATATTCTAGATCTAACAGCAAAGCTTGGAAAGAAATACAAAGGAAAAGAGAAATGTCAATTCTATAGTTCATGTTAAAAAAAAAAGACTTGGCAGACACCAGAAAACCACCATTTGATTGCAGCATACACTACCATTATCTAAAACAAAAGTGGCATATGTGCAATTAAAATTCATTAAGATTTTATTATTCTACAGGAACAAACGCAGTTTTGTTTGAATAAATACTCTGTCAAACCACTAATGTGGAGGCACCCCTTACAATGCAATGTGCCCCTAGCTGATTTCAACAAACTATGTTCAAACTGTAAATTCTGACAAAATATTTCATACAAGGATTAAAATATTCAGTAATTTAAAATAAAATGCATTGCCTTATTTGCAAATTGCAAAAACTGACCTATGGCAGCAGATGGGTACCACTGCAGAGAACTGAAGTGCAGCAATTCTTACGAAATCATAGAATCACTGAGGCTGGAAAAGACCTTCAAGATCATCCAGTCCATGACAATGATTTTCCAATGACTGTTAACTTACTGTCTAATCATCTCCTAACAGCATGTTCTCTAGAAAATAAAGCAAGCTCTGATTTTATTTGTAATGTAAATGATCACAATGAAGTTGTACAATAATGGTGTAAACTGTTTGGATAGCTAATACTGCAAAAAGATACTTCTTAATGGTTTTCTATTAATCAATAAAATGTTCCTGCATGTCCTAGGTTACATAAAGGAGTTTGTTTATTTATTTAACTCAGAATTTTGAGGCAAACTAGATTTCACCATTCCCTTTAAGGTCACTGCTCACAGGCGCACAGCTTGTTTTCATATTCCAGCAATGACAGCAAAATTACATCTCTAAAAGCAGTCTGAAGCTGAAATAATTTGTTCTGTTCTCTACCCTTAAATTCTTTCAGGTTACATTTTACACAGAATAATTTACACCTACAAGATACTCATTCTCAGACCATGAACAAACATTTTCCTTTCATTCACTCATCCCCAAATGCAAAAGAGAAGATCTTCTGAAACTTTCTGACAACTTCACTATTCTTAAAAACTGCATTCAAATTATGTTTTGAAATAAGAATTTCCTTTGCTTAATCCAACTTCTCCTTTCTCCAGCAGTTTCACCACACCTTCTCTGCAAATAACTGAGTATACAATATGTGTGTGTAACAATGTGTACAAACTCAAACATAGCTTGAACTGTGAGAAGTTTAACATTAGATGTAAGCTGGTCGCTGGAGTGCCTGACTTGCAGGCTGAGCCACTGACCACATCAAATGGGCTTACACTGGCACAGATAGGAAATAAAATGAAATCCACCAGTTCATTATTGTGGCTTACACCAATTTCAATGAAGCAAAGACAAAAATCAAGTTATTTTAATGAAATAACTTTGCATTTGTCACAAAAGTTGTTTATTACAACATTCAATTACAATGTTTAAGCTTCTAAAAATCTAATAAAACTTAAGTTAATTCTAAGGTTTGCCCATTCTATCCACAGGCAGCAGTAAGTCTAGAATCAGCAAAGACCTCTGCCATCATTTCCAGAATGTATCTGCTTGGTAGGCTGTAAAAGACTTTGCTCTTAAATGACGTGGGTTTTTTTGTTTTATTTTGCTTTTAGATATGAAAAGCAGGCAAGAGTTCTATCAGTAGAATCAACATTATTCATTAAGAGTATTATTACTGAGAAGGATATCTTCTTGTTGTGGAAAAACAGAGA